CGTCCTCGTGCTCAGACGTCAGCGCCTCGAACCGTGCTATCCATCCCTCCCAGTCATCCGTGTCCAGCCCCGCGAACCGCGGAGTGCGTGATACCAGGATGGTGTCATTAAAGTCCATCGCCGGACTGTCCCTGGGGCCCCGAAATATATGCAAAAAAATATTACAGCTGACCCTTCCACGCAGTGCAATTGTGATGTGGCCTTGTATTTAATGTCGACTGCCGTGTGGACCACACGGCGACAAAAAATCACGCCGAGCAAACCGCTCGTCGATGCCACTTAACCAACATAAGTCATTGATAACATCCGCCGTGTGATCCACAAGGCGAGAAAAAAAAAATATGCTGAGCGAGCCGCTCATCAACAGACACGCAATACCAATAACGGCAATTCAAATAAAAAATAATAGCACCAATCCTGAATTCATGTGGCTTACCTCTAGTGGTGTCCTACCGACCGCGCCAATATTACAGGCACAACACCCCGTTCCGCGTCCCGCGACCGACTGCCCGCTCGCCGCGGCGCGCCCACTCCCCAGCCGCCGCCAGCCGGGCGGCGGCGCCGCGACCACTCGCCGGGCCGCGCCACGGGCGGCGCCAGGCGCTCGCCCAGGGGCGGCCCGCGCCACGGGCGGCGCCGGGCGCCCGCCCAGGGGCGGCCCGTAACAGGAGGCCTCCTGGACAAATAGGAGGCCCTAGACAAATAAGAGGCCCCTAGACAAATAGTAAGCCCCATGGACAAGTAGGAGGCCCTCTGTACAAATAAGAGGCCCCCTGCAAAAATAGGAGGCCCCCTGGACAAATAGGAGGTCCTAGACCTAGACAAACAGGAGGCCCCTTTCACAAAAGGAGGCCCCTGGACAAATAGGAGGCCCCATGGACAAGTAGGAGGCCCTCTGTACAAATAGGAGGCCCCTGCAAAAATAGGAGGCCCCCTGGACAAATAGAAGGTCCTAGACCTAGACAAAAAGGAGGCCCCTTTCACAAAAGGAGGCCCCCTGGACAAATAGGAGGCCCCTTTCACAAAAGAAGGCCCCTAGACAATTAAGAGGCCCCCTGAACAAGGAGGCCCCCTGGATAAAGAGGAGGCCCCCTAAAAATAGGAGCCCTCTGGATAAATAGGAGGCCGCTTGGAAAATAAGAGGCTACTTTAACCAATAGGAGGCCCCTTGGACAAATAGGAGGCCCCCTGAACATGTAGGAGGCACGCTGGACAAATAGGAGGCCTCTTGGGCAAAGAGGCCCCCTAGAAAAATAACAGGTCCCTTGGACAAATAGGAGGCCCCCTGGACAAATAGGGGACCTCTTGAACAAATAGGAGGCTCCATGGACAAGTAGGAGCTAGAGGCTCTCTGTACGAATAGGAGGCCCCCTGGACAAATAGAAGGCTCCCTTAACAAAAAGGAGTCCCTTCAAAAAAAAGGAGGCCCCGGGACAAGTAGGAGACCCTTGGACAAATAGGAGGCCCCTGCACAAATATGAGACTCCTAGTCGAATAAAAGACCCCTGGATAAATAGGAGGCCCCTGAACACGTAGGAGGCCCCCTAGATAAAGAGGAGGCCCCCTGGAAAATAGAAGCCCCCTGGATAAATAGGGGACCTTCTGGAGAAACAGGAGGCCTCCTGGACAAATAGGAGGTCCCATAGACGAATAGGAGGCCGCTTGGACAAATAGGAGGCGCCGTTAACCAATAGGAGGCCCCCTAGACAAACAGGAGGCCCTCTGTAACAGTAGGAGGCTCTCTGTACGTACAAGAGACCGGCGCTCGACCTGTAGAAGCTTAGCCGTATGTACGCTAGGAGGCTCTCTGTGCAAGTAGTCGAAGTAGGAGGCTCTCTGTACTGTACCTACAATTACAAATAAGAGGCCCCCTGGGTAACTTAGATGCAACACAAATCGGAGGTCACCTATAAAAAAGCGGGACTCTGTTGGAATACCTGATTTAATAAATTATTTTCCTGATATTCAAATTACTTAGGTAATCCTCGTCCGCACATGGGGGGGGGGGCAGTGGTTGCCACACCCCCCACCCCGACCTAGGTAGTTTTTTTCTGCTCTGCACTAAACATTTTGATTGCTAGAAGTCGGATATTTCGTATAGCTGCTGCTCTATCCTTTTTTAGCGTCCACTGAAAATTTCAAGTTTCTGTGGTTTTTGGTTTCGGAGATATGACCTTATTCTTCAGGTAATGTCATAACCCAAATGACAAATACCCAATATCTTGCGTTGGCGTTGGGTCTTGTGAGCTTTTGACACCTTGATTTCGGCCTTTTTTGTCAGTCTTACCTCCCACCTATCATGGAACATGTTGTTCAATGATGTAGAGATGCCAGGGTCAGGGTCAAGGTCAACCTAGGTCGTCTAAAAATATTGCGTTTTAGGCAAGCTGAATTTACTTTCGTGAAGTTTCTTTGACTGTATTTTTGGCAAAAGCTTCTCAGTTCATGATCTCATGTAATATGGACACATTCACAGTCGGTGCACACATCAGTATACTCGTACACACAGACACACACAGACATACAAACACATGTCATTGACCTTGAGCTAACTTGACCTGAAATGACCACAGCCAGCAAAAACCTAGTCGGATAGTGTGACAAAGAGGTTCTAGCTGGCTTGGCACCACAATACGGCAGCGTCATCGGTACATGATGAGCAGCGCACGTGATATTCCAACGGGCAACGGTGACCCCAAACAGCAACATTCTTTAGTTTGACCTGACCTGGAAGGTCAATGACTGACCTGATGAGGTAAAATTGGTATCATTGGATTCGTCACTTCCCAAAGAATCTGTTGCTCTTGACCGCAAGGCTTAAAATCTTGTAAGAAAAAATTGTGGTGATGTCGAATAAGATACCTACACAAGCAGCGGGCCAACCCATCATATAACGATGACGCTGCCGTATTAGTGCCAAGCGAGCTAGAACAGCTCTTTGTCACACTATCCGACTAATTTGCTGGCTGTGGTCATTTCACGTCAAGTTAGGTCAAGGTCAATGATATGTGTTTGTATGTCTGTGTAATTGTGTATGTCTGTGTATGTACTGATGTGTGCACAGATCGGTTTGTGTGTCCCTATTACACTTGATCATGAACTGAGAAGCTTTTACTAAACATACAGTCAAAGAAACTTCACGAAAAGTAAATTCAGCTTGCCTAAAGCGCAATAATTTTAGATGACCTAGGTTGACCTTGACCCTGACTCTGCTGACATCTGTACATCGCAGAACAACATGTTCAATGATAGGTGGGAGGTAAGACTGGCAAAAAAAGCCGAAATCAGCGTGTCAAAAGCTCACAAGGCCCATAGCCATCGCAAGATATTGGGTATTCGTCATTTAGGACATGACATGACCTGAAGAACAAGGTCATATCTCCAAACCCAAGTGCCGCAGAAGCTTGAAATTTTCAATGGACGCTGAGAAAAGATAGAAAAGCAGCTATACAAAGAAAATCAGGTTTCTAGCTTTAAAAATGTTAAGTGTAGAGCAGAAAAACTAACTTGGGGGTGGCGACCCTCCCCCCAGGTGCCGGCGAAGGTTAACCCTCACACTTTCTGGGGTCGGCTTACGGCTAGATTCCTTGCGCAATGCTGTGCCGTTAATTTTTTTTCTATTATAAAGGCATTGTGTTTTATTGTCAAAAGTGAAAAAGCCAGAAATTTTCGTCGATTTCGGATGCCGCGGGGGATATTTACATACAATGTCACCCTGCTGGCCTGGATCCACCAGTAGGGTCAGGTGACCTACCATTTCTTTATCGATATTAAAAAAAAAAATCATGGCATCAGAGCTGTGACGAAAAATAAGTGGCCTAAATCCGATGAGAAAACTGGATTTGGGGGTACCCCATGTTTGGCTTCTGAGCCTCTGGTCCCCCAATGAAAATTTCTTAGAGGAGGCCCTGGCGTGGCTCGTAAATTACCGCTTCCGCAATTGGAGGCCCCTAATTGCTTGGAGGCCCCCACTAAATGGAGGCCCCCTTGGACGTTTGGGACCCCAATGGTGATGTCAAAGTTTCACCCATGTTCAGTTGCCGCACGATTAGGCGCTGGTTGTCACGCGACAGAAGGGGATAGACGTCTGAGAACCAGCTAGGTCGCGGCAGGAAGACTTCCGCCAGCCGGGTAGCGCAGAACGTCATCGCGAAGTGCGGAGCTAAAGACGGGCTTATCCACAAGGAAACTGGCAAGGAGGCTGATTGCCAACAGTCATCCAGTCTCCAAGTCAACAATCCATCGGGACCGAAGGTTGCTTCTAAAGCTGAAGCCCACCAAGCCACGTCTCCAGCCGAAAACTTCTGCTGAACATGTCCAGAGCCATCTTTCAACAGGTCGGCGCCCCGGCTCATCGAGCTAGAACGACGCGGGACTGGTGCAAATCGAACTTCCCAACATTCTGGGAGAAGGGCAAATGACCGGGGAATAGTCCCTACCTGTCGCCGAGAGAAAATCTTAGGGCGATCGTCCGGTAAGAGGTGAACAAAATGGCGCCAGGATAATCTGAAGGCACGCTGACCAGGAACGTTCGATCTGTCTGGTCCTAGACCAGTCCATAGAAGCTGGACATGCTGATGTCTGATGTCCCGGACACCTTGCCCGTATGTATGCTTGCCCGTATCAGGGAGGTGGGATACATATGTAAGAAAAGCGCACCTCTCATGTTTGTTATTTTCATGCAATTAAGGCTGGAAGGGTGTGACATTTTTTGGACACCCTGTATAAGGCATCAAGGCGTGCCACCTGTACTCGGTTGGGAAGTGCAGGTTCCTGGAGAGCCGTGTGCCTGCCGATGAAGTTTATGTACCCGTTGTCCGCTCAGCTCCGTCACCAACTTTGACTCACCACACTGCTGGAGCCATGCCTAGCTTTCCTCCCTCCCCTCCACCCGTGCCCCCCCCCCCCTTGCGACTGCGCTGTGCCGGTAACCATGTGACCGGCGCGTAACGTCCGAGGGGGGGGGGGGGGTGGAGCTGGGCAACTGGACCGGCCGGGTCAGACTGGTGCGGGGTGCCGGCACCGACAGACCTGCCGGACCACCGACAGACCGGCCGGACCACCGACAGACCGGCCGGACCACCGACAGACCCGCCGACCGGAACAGGAGCCGGTCAGTGGTCAGAGGAGAGCACAGCGGCGGTCAGGGTAACCAGAGTGGCCGGGGGCCGGTCGGTCGACCAGTGGGCACAGCAGCGCTGCCCGCACTATCAGGGACAGTGCAAGGAGCGGTGGCGCTCTGACGGCTCCAGTGAGGTCGGACAGCACGGCCCTCAGCCGCGGCGGTCGGAGGGCAGTCAGGGCGGAGCTGTCAGTAGTGACCGGAGAGGCTCAGTTGCCAGAGGACTATCGGTCAGAGAGTAGCTGCAACAGGAGTCGGCAACTGTCTGGGAGACTGCAGAAGATCACGGGCAAGACACGAATGGCCATGGACCACGGATAGAACCAAGTGGGATAGAGCCATTGGGGCTGTGAACAAAGGGTGTGGATTACAGACACTGGCGAGCGGTACCAGAAAGACAGCCAAGCGCACCAGTGGAAGGCGGCATCGGGCGACGAATACCCAGAACGAACACCGAACTACACCAGTAGAGGCGTCTCATCGCCGTCACCATGACCACGTGAGTAGCACCAGCCGTGCGGTTTGGGTTTTTCTGCAGTTCTTATTTTCTGCGATTATTTCTGCAGTTATTTACTGCCGATTAAGTATCAGGAGCAGGACAGTACGATCAGGCAGCAGTCGCCACTCGCCAGCCGAGCTAAATTGGCCGACGGCCGACGGCGACGACTGGAGAAGCCCGCTCCGTCCCCGGTCCGCCGCATCGGAAGGAACTCATCGGGGTCTTGACTCTTGGTAGACTGCACCGCCGTACAGTGGTGTAGTGCGGCACAGCCTACACCGTCAGTCAGTCGCACAGACTGTGGCCACTGGCCATGCAGCTACACTTCCTAGTTTCTACATAGCTTTGGGGTGGGATGGGCAAAACGGAAACTGGAAAGCCATTCTGGAAGGAACGACTCAAGGTTCGAAAGATAAGGTGGGGAGGGGGGGGGCTGAGGGTGCTCGAGAACCTCTTAGCTATAAGCTAACTAGAGCTCAGGATATAAATGCTAACATAAGATAAGATTATGGTTCTAATTCTGATACCTTGTTTTCAAAGCGGGCATAAGTAGTGTGCAGAATAGGAGCCAGATCACCAGGGGCCAGGCCAGGGGTGCAGGGAAAGTATCTACCTATGTCTTCACTACGCAACAGTAGCTGCGGAACACCTTCAATTAAGAGGGGGGGGGGGGGGCACTGCCGACTTTTGGTCCCATTCTTTCCATGCAACGCGCATAGGGCTAATGTTAAAATGGTAAAATCAAGAGGGACACGGTGCCCCGGTGCCCTCCCCCCCCCCGTTCCGCCGCCTATGCTACGCAAGAGCCAAGAATTTGAGTGCGCCGCGCCATTGAAAACCTTTTTTAGGAAACAGCACCTGTAGGCTGCAGCCTCGCGTGACGCGTCCTCCCGTCATTTTACAGTTAGGTATAGCCTATTCACTTATAAAACGGTCAAACCTACCCAAAAATTTGAGCCGGAGAGCGGGTAGGAGCGAAGTCATCGCTTGTTTGCTCTTTTGCACACGTCGGACGTCCCTATCTAAACATTTGACTAAAACTCGTTAAAATGTATTACCATTGCTGTGAGTGAAGGCCGAAGGCTAACAAAGGCTAACGAAGGCTCAGTAAGCGAGGGCTAACACATCAAAGGACAAAGGAATGATTAATAGATTGATCGGTAGGTAAATGGGGAAGGAAAGAAGAAAAGTTTGGTTTTCTTTATGTTCTCTTTTCACGTCATTTTGTTAAGTTCAGCTACCTTTGCCATAATGAAGAAAAGTCTAGTGACCGAATCCCCCTGCACTGTTCACTGGACACGCCGTTCAACAGCGCCCTGCTGACCCCCGTGCTCTGTTGCGCAGGAAGCCGAAGACGCTGGCCGAGCTGGTACAGCAGCGGCGGGCCGGCATCAACGTGGGCGACACCACCACGGCGGCGCAGAAGAAGGCGCGCGCCGCAGAGGCCAAGAGGGCCGAGGCTGAGAAAAGGGAGAGGGAGGAGCGCGCGAGAGAGGAACAGCGACAAGAGGAGGAGCGGCGAGAGAGGGAGAGAAGGGAGGACGAGGAGAGAAGGGAGAGGGAGAGGAGGGAAGAAGAAGAGAAAAAGGAAAAAGAGAGACGAGAACGAGAAGAACGTGAAAAGAGGGAGGAGGAGGAAAGACAGGAGCAGGAGAGGAAGAAAGAAGAGGAGGAAAGGAGAAAGAAAGAAGAGGAAAGGAGACGGAAGCAGGAAGAAGAGGAAAAGGAAGAGAAAAGAAGAGAAGAAGAAAGGAAAGAGAAAAAGAGGCGAGAGGAAGAAGAAGACAGAAAAAGAGAGGAAGAGAGAAAGAAAAGAGAGCAGGAGTGGGAAGAACGACGAAAAGAGAGAGAAAGGCAAGAGGAAGAAGAACTAAAAGAGCGACAGAGACAGCGAGAGGAACAAGAGAAACGTTGGGAAGAGGAAGAGAAAAGACGAGAGCAGGAAAGGCAGGCTAAGAAGGAAGAAAGACTTCGAGAAAAAGAAAATAGGCGAAAGCAGGAAGCGCAGAAAATAGAAGAGGAACAGCGAAAGTTCCAGGAATCAAGGAACAAAGCGAACACAAATAAAAGATTTGACAGGAAAGACATCCTAGAAAGCGAAGATTTCAAGCAGTTCTCGCACTGGATGAAAAATGGCAAGAAAGACGACATGGATAAAGTACAGGAGCTGCTGTTCCCCGATGGCTGCTGGGACTAAATGGCTCCTGATCCACAGCGAGCGGGCGTCGTTTGCGACCACCAAGTTCGGACCGTCTGGCGCTACCGGGAGTCACTCGCCGAGTCAGTCCCGTAAGTATAGCTCCCGGGCAGCAGCGATCAAAACTGCGACTGCGTTCGAGGCGCCGGAGGGTGTCGGCGGAGGTCGAGGGCAGGGCACGGCGGCCTACTGACCCCGTCCGGAGGCCAGCGCTGGCGCGAACCGTGCCGAACACTCAGTGGACTCGGAGGCTGGTAATTACTTCTGAGCCGACACTAAAGTGTGATCTACTAGCATCGTTCTGAGTGCGAGGAATGAATAGCGAACACTGAGTGTGCCGTCATCTGCCCGCGCCGCTAAACGCTGGTCGCCGCACTGCGTGGTGAAAGAGGGGTTTGCCGTTGTTTCCCCGTGTTGGAGGAAGTTGTGCCGCTGGGCTGAGCCAACTGAAGGGCGGGGATATGAGTTGGGACTTTGGGAGAGGCCACTGTTGGCCTGTGCCGGGTGACGCCGTAGTTTGCTCCGCTGGCGGTTTTAGTCCAACCACGCGCTGGTCGCGTGGCCACGCACTCCCGAACGGAAGGCGAAAACAATCGTTCTGGGGCCCATTGTGCGTGCCCTGTGTACCTACTGGTTGTGGATACTGTCTGTCTGTGGCTGCGTTGGCGGATTGTGATATCATTGGCTCGTCCCTTGCATGATTTGGAAAACTCAGGCCGACCGTCAATTGTTTCGAGCAGAAAAACATTTAAGCCTTATAACTGGTAGACGTGCTCATCCGTATCCGGTTCGGTTCGGAGCTCTGGAAGGTATGGATTTTGCCTACTTTGTCCGCAGTGGCCCCCGGACCGGGGCCAGCTGTGGCGGTACCCTGTCCGTGGCCATTGGTACCGGCGCTGCAGCCGTTGTGTGTTGGGTCCGCCGTGTGGGGGTGGGGACGGTGTGGGCCTCTCGCTCCCCTGGCGGGATGGGTCACCCAGCTCGGGGAGGCCCGGGCTCTCTCCGAGAGCCCGTGTGAAGTGCAGTGCCGTGTGTGGTGTGAGGCGGCGGCGGCTCCGAGCCGCCGGCCGGAGCCGAGCTGTACTGTTCCGTGTCGCGGCGCGGAGCGGAGTGAACCATCTTCTGGTGCGGGACGCGGGCGGTGTGGTCTGACGCTCCTGCTGATCTACATCCGCCCCGTCCTATCACTGTGGTCTCCAGTCGCTTCTGGTTGCAGCATAATGAGCCATTCTGACATCCACCAGCGACCCCCGTAAAACATGTGTCGCTCTGTTCGTCGCATGAGCCTACGTCAGTAGCCCATTAACAGTTACCAAGTATGTAGGTCGAAATCGAGTGCATTTATCGCAGCTGAACCAGCTAGCGATGTGTGATATTTGTTACTCGAGTGTTTCGATTGCCTAACCTGGTTGCTTGGTGCTTCTACTCCCACAGACCCCGCCGCACAACCCCATCCACCAGTTAAATAATTTATTAAAATACATTTGCTTCTCAACAGTGCGGCTTCTAGCTGCGAATTACCCACGGAGGACAATCATATGTAGATGCTCGATAAGACGGATACACTAGCAAAACGGGCAGTCCTGCGGCCAACGGCGGCGCGCCGCCCGCTCTCTGGTCCGGTCCGGTCCGGTCCGGTCCGGTCCGGTCCGGTCCGGTCCGGTCCGGTCCAGTTCGGTCCAGTGCAGTCCCGTCCGGTCCGATTCGGTCCAGTGCGGTCCGGCCCGGTACCCCGGGGTGCCGGCCGGCCGACCGGTCCCTAAGGCACTGACGGCGGCCCGAGTAGCACGCACTCGGCACCCGGCGCCACCGCCCTGGCAAGAGACGAACGGTGGGGGGGCGGCCGGCAGCGCGCGCCCTCCCATAAGCATTAATCGACTCGCCGGTGGCGTTTGTAGCACTCTGAGTAAAGCTGACTGCCCTAAAAATCGACATATTTGGCGCTGGCGGCCCGTCTCGGTCCGTCACAGAGTGGCAGTCGCTGCGACCGCATCACATAGCACTGACCGGGCGGCCGGTACAGTCTCGGGCCGGTTGTACAGTCTGGAAGACGGTCCGGGCGGCGGCGGCGCGCGTCATTGGTAGATCATCACCAGCTGTTTGGCGCCCTTGGCCACCTCGAAGGCCATCTGGATGACCTGCTGGGTGATGAGGCGCGCGTCGTGCGCGGACGGCGCGCCGGCGGCGGCCAGCAGGCCGGCCGACTCGTTCTGCAGCCGCCAGGCCGAGGTGCTCAGCTGCTGGACAGAGTCCAGCGCGCGCTCGTCGCAGCCCGACTGCCGGAGGGACAGTGCACACAGCGGGCCGTCAGCAGGGCGCGGCGGTGGAAACACGTTCAACAGTCCGGACTGGCCACTGACCAGCGGCCGTCACTGACATGGACTATTGGTCTTAACTCTCAAGATTGGTCTACAAACGTACTATTGGAGTCTCGGCGGCCCAACTGTCAGAGCCTGACCGAGTGAGCCCTGTCCTACCCGGATGTGGCGAGGGTAACGGTAACGCATGAAAATAGCTGGTCGCTGGAACCCTCATCCTGAGACCGTTAGGACCATACTGCCTACTGGACCATATCTACAGTATACTTATGAGTCCGACATAATTACATGCGGCAAACAAAGCAATATTAAATTAACAATACCAATGACGATCAGAAACGCTTAACAACTATCAAAGAGATCACGATGGGAAAGTAAAATGGATTGCTGAGAGCTCTTTATACTAAAAAAGATGTCTATTGCAAAAGGCCCAGAGCGCACATACAGACACACATCCACCACTCAAACATGTAGACCTCCATGCTCTCACCGCCCGGCTAGCTCAGTCGGTAGAGCATGGGACTCTTAATCCCAGGGTCGTGGGTTCGAGCCCCACGTTGGGCGACCTTTTCCGATCTCCGAAACAGCGACAAACTGCGCAGTTACTAATCTCGCCAATATCCATCCCCTGTTCATTATTTTTCCGCTGAGGACCACCCGAAAAAAGCCGACCCGACCCCGACCCAAAGGATGAACCCGGTCAGCCAGACAACTAAAATTTACGCGACATCTCCCACGTCAGGACCTAGGCTGACCTGTGAGAAAGCCCCTACTGTCGACCGGCCTCCATCTCACCTGTGGCTAGCCCCTGCCTGATCCACGAACTGTGAGCGAGCCCTGTGTGACCTGTCCGACCCTGACTGACCTGACTGACCTGTCTGACCCTGACTGACCTGCGGGAAGACGGAGACCATCTCGAGGACAGCCGAGTAGATGCGGTCGATGCAGGCGTTGTACTGGTCGGTCCGGCCGTGCTGGGCGGCCGTCAGCAGCCGCTGGATCCGCCGGGTTACCTGGACAGACACACACGGCGGCGGGTCGGTGAAAACGTGCAGCGCACGGACGGGTTTCAGCGTAAACGGAAGGCGCAGGATAGTACACACCGAACGCAAGAAAATTTGGATATGATGATGATGATGATACAGTGGGTGCACTGGGAAGTACACAATTAATTGAATAAAACTGATCAAGCTCCTTACCAATTACCAGGCATATGTGACTTTATATATCAATAGGGCCGAAATGAGTAAAAACAAAAATAATTGTACACGGCGATTTAATTGTGGTGGTATCAACGGGTGCAGAATCATCTCAGTTCAGCTAACAGAAACCATGGTAGGCCAGAGATATCGAATATTACTACACAAATTACATCGGGCCACCCGGGTCAGCACGTCCAGCAAAACGAAACCAAAATAACAATTACAATTAACTTAATTACAATTAACAATATACAACTACATCAAATCAGCTATCATTGCAAAAATCAAACACCTAGCCAGGTATACAAGTCGACGGGTGGCGGGCGCCCTTTCTACCCAGGCTTCAACGAAAGCAGGCGCACGAAGAAAGTCGGCCGGCCGCGACAAGCGGTTCCATTATGCCGTTTGGAAGTCTAGCCGTTGGTATAAACACTGCCCGCCCAAACGGATTAATACGGCAGCAAAAATCCACACGGCAGGACGGACTAATGGAAGCGGAGAATCCTGCAAACGGAGCGCCCATACCGTGCGGTTTGTGTTTACAAATACCTAACTTTGACGAACGGCAAAGACAACTAGACGTAAGGCAAGCTGCACACCGGACGATTCTTCGTTCATGTTGTCTGCAGGCAGTACTGCAGTAAACCGAGAAGAATGTATGCGACGAGCAATACATATACCTACAGGAATGTGATCTTTCTCTAAAAATTTTTAACTTAGTGACACTTCAGCACCAGATAATGTAACTAATATAGAATCCCTCATCAAGTGATCGAGTGGAGCTAATAACTGAAAGCATATTTATCATAAGAATTAAAATATGCATAAATTTCGCCGATATCTGACTGTGATAAAGTGATAAGCGAGCATCGCTTGAAAAGAGGGTTCAGTGACGTTTTAGGGTCAAGAAACCGCTATTGTCCTAAATATTTCAGCGGCTCTTTAGCCGATTAAAACGTAACGGTGACTCGCGATATGGAATGTGTGGGTCATAAAATTGCGTGAAAACGGCCGCACCTGAATTATGGATGGAGCAATCCCCTTTACGCCACTATAGTTCGGTAACATTGCTGCCACCGGCGGTGTCTTATGGACGATACCAAGCGGAATTCACACCAGCGGCCAACAGTCGACGGGACGCCGGCTGTCCTCTGTGAAATCGTAACGAGCACTCCTTATTCGAGAACCGCCGCAACTTGCCATTAGGTGGCGTACTTGGCTGACACTCGTGGCCGGAAACCCCGACATCAGTGCCGACCAACCAGCCCAGTGGGTCGCCAAGTAACCGTGAATAACCAACGAACTAGCGCCGAGCTTCCTCGAACAGCGAGTGTCGGCCAGGCGTCAACCAGTGGCACGGGCCGGAGGCGCAGGTGCAAATTACGGCCCCACGAAATGACACGCGGTAATTTTGATAGGTGATCACACAGAGGGTACTGATTACCTGGTATATAGTTGGCTGACATGTGTTGTGTCATACTGTCACGATGACAATGACGAGCGATGACTGTGTTTGAACACACGGAATGCATATGCATAACTCCTTGATGCCCCACGATAACCCGACACTGCCGTTAGTTTTCGCTAGAATTAAAGTACGAAGCTCTGACACCACGAAAACAGCTACACATTCCGTTCAATATTGTTGTTTTTCATTAGACTTATCCAGCATGGGGAAAACACCGACCTTAAATCTCAGTCTTAATAGTCTTAATAGTCTATACCATTAAGACTATTGTTAATACCGACCTTAATAGTCTCAGCTAATACAGGAACCGTTCTGTTGATGGTGGCCCTCCTTTCCACCCCCGTTTCCCCCACCCGGCCCGCGCGGCTGGACACTGACCAGTTCCGTTTTCCGTATGACCACCTCCTGTTTAGGCGGCTCGGAGGCGCCCGGCAGCGGCAGTGAGCGCGATCCACTGGCCCGCTGAGGGACAGACTGGTGCGGCAGCGAGCACGAGCCGCTGGCCGTCAGCGAGGCAGCCGTCGAGCCGGGCGGCGACACCCGGTCCCCCTCCGACAGTTTCCGCTGGGGGAGGAGAGGGGGTGAGGCACAGGAGACATCGCGGAGAGTGTGAGACAACACAAAGCAGTCCGGGTGGCAGAGACATGACAGACGGGCACTGCGATACACAGCAGCTGCACACTTGTCTGACAGATGGGGATTACTTTCTCAGTTGAACTCCAATAACTCACACGCATTCAGCGACGTACGTTTGAGCGACTGAGAGAATCAAGCCGGATGCGTCCACCGCACAACTCTTTAAGACTCAGATAATCAAGCTATCTGCTTGATGGTTAAACACCGGAGGTGAACCGCCCGCCGACACTGCTCTGCCCCTTTGGCCCTCTCTCACCTCGAGACACCAGGTGGGCGGCTGGGCGGGCCGTTCGCGCGTCTCGAACATGCTGACGGGCCGGCGGCCGGCGGCGGCGTGGGGCGGCAGCGGCGGCGGACCCGCCCCCGCCCCGGCGCCGGCCGCCGCCCCGGCGCAGCTGGCCCGCAGAGCCGTGTTCTCAGAGGTCAGGCGCTGCACCTGAGGCCGCCGGACGGGTACGGGTCATACGGCCGGCAGGCGTGAGGCACACAGGTCATACAGGATCGCAGGCCAGTCACAATACATCAGTCATACCGGTCACAGACTCACACACGACTGCAACAAGCCACAGGAGCCGCGTCTGCCACACAGACTGAGGACCTCGAAGACGGGATATATATGTAACAGTAACACATTCAGGGCTTATATGATAAAGTACGAAGCCATAAAAGCTGTATCGACTAATCAGACAGGCTACGACGGTGCAGGGCCCAGCTTTACACAGATGAGGGGCGTGGCTGGTGAGTGTTCTCTGGTCATTACGATCACTGCTGTCAGTATACTCATACTGGGGTTGAGTATGCCGCATCTGAGGCCGGCGCTCACAGGCTGGCCGGCGCTCAGACCAGTCGGACACAGCCGGCCTACCCCTGACAAACCGACCCGATCGCAGCATGGAACGGCTACGGCTCGCGGACAGAACCTGGCTGAATAAGACATGGGCGCCGGCAGGGCTGAATAACACATGTCGGGCACCTGTTGTGGCGGTCCGACCAGGTGTTCTGTGACTGTCCGACCACCTGTAGTTCGGAGTGACAGGTCACACAGACATTGACAGCAGCTCTGCCACTGTCAGAGTCACACATCATCGTTACACACAGAGGAACGGATAGCCGGGTGACGTGGCTCAGAGAATACGGACTACAGAGTTGAGCCTGTAAAGTCGGTCACGACTTCACAGACTGACGATAACGTGGGAGATGATGTAAAACTGTTAAAACAGACTGAGTGGACAAGACCGTACAAACGATTGCAATACAGGTGCACAACACATACGGTTGCAGGGAGTGTGACAGACAGAGGTACGAACAGTACAGACGGGCGGACCAAGAGCCACCAAAGACGACGGTCCTGACAGTCCAGAAATACCGGCACTACAGAGCGCAGTTATATGTTAACGGTACCGATCAGCGGCCACCGACAGTTTGCCGGGGTCAGTGCTCCGGTGACGGACGACCGATTGGCACGAGCCGCCGGTCACCGGCAGCCGGCGGTTCACTCCACCCGGCGCCCGGCCCCGTGCCGGCCGCCGGGCTCGCCACAGCCGCGCGTCAATGCGTGTACACGCTGACGTCAGCCGGCCCGGCCCGGGCCGGCCTCTAACGATTACCGGCCCGTGGCGGCCCCGAATCAGTGCGAGTACCGGGTGTCCCGGCAACGCGGCCGGCCCGGGCGACCGTGAAGCCATGCTCCGGCCGGCCCGCGGCCGACACCGCGGTCGGCTTGGCATGCGCTCACACGCAAAGCTGGTGACCTGACGCGAGTTCTTCGTCAGTAAAACTAACAAACTGAAAGGGTTGTGCAATGTGCGCTGCTTCTGACATGCATTCATAATACTACGCACTACTGCTACCGTAATAAAACTGAAACGGTGATATTTAAATAAATATACCAATCCCTATCGCCAGCTGCCAATGGCTGCTCCCCAGTCCTTTTGCCTATTGCAGTGGTAAATCTGAAGCAGTGATTCTGAGCAAAAATACAAAACTAATGAGCTGACCGCCACTGCCGTCAGCTATCCGTATTAATAGAGGTATTTCCGCTTATTGCCCACAAACATGCCACCTTTATGATAATCATTTATCAGAAATGTGTTACAGGAAACATTACGGACAGCATTAATCACACTGTGGCGGGGCCTTACACCTGGTGTCTGCTCCAATCACCGGAGGCCATCCTTTATTGGACCACAATCGGCGCTGTCCGGGTAAAGAGGCTGGCCACACGCGCCGGCCGCGGCTCCGGTGGGCGCTGCAGCGGGTGGCGCAGAGCCCGCCACTGGGGTCGCTGCTCGGTCCGGTAATTTACCGCCCGACAGGCCCGTCCGGGGCACCAGCGCCGCCCGCCCGGGGCACTGCGTCACGGGCCCCGGGTCCGGCCGAGGGGCCATAACCTGCGCGTCTCTCGGACACGGCCGCCAACATTCCGGCGCGGCCGGCGGGCACGATCGAACGAGCCGCCGACCCGGGCGGCGTTACTACAGAGACGACCGATAACACGGCCAACCGGCGCCGTAACGGCGGTCACCACCGCAGCCGGCGGCCGGGCGGAGCGGTCACCGCGGCGGGCTGCCCACCGGGTCCAGTCGGGCTGCCTGCCGGGGTCGACAGAGCTGGGGGACGGGGAAAGCGAGCACAGGGCCGACGGCTGGGAGAGGGTGAGCGCGAACCCAGGGCCGACAGAGCTGAGAAAGGGATGGCCAGCTCAGAGCCGACAGAGCTGGAACGGACGGCGGACATGAAAAATAGGAAAAGATGAGGATGACTTATGGAACGAAACGAGGAGGAACTGGATGGTAATGAATGGAGAGAAAGAAGTTCGTTGAGAATATTTAGAAAAGATATGAATCTTCAAAAATTACTCCATTTTGACGTTTGGCACCAATGAATATCAAAAGATCTTCAATTCCTATGCTTTTTAGAATGTAGATGAAAAGGGAGCCAAATTGTAGCCCAAAAATACATGACAAAAACACGAAAATTTTCTAAAATAAAGTCAATAAATAGAGCATTTCTATATAAAAAGCTAAGAGCACCAAGTCCGGTAAACTCTCATGCGTTTGCAAGCCATGGCAGCGTCAGCCCGGCACGGAAAGAATTCGACTCAGCTCATTCCATCAGCTATCTACTATCAATCTCGCGATCCCAGAAGCCATACTCTCCCTCCCTTCCCATCCAGCATTCTGCGGGTACTGCTCACAGGGCCGTGCTGCAAGCCAAAGCATGTCGTCCCCCAGCCTCCCGCCCCCTCTGAGCGGTCCCTGCGTGCACCGTGCGAGCTGACGAGGGGTGCACCTCTGACCCCAGGTCACCGGTCACGGGGTCAGAGACGGGGTCAGACTTACAGCCGGCAGGTCCGTCCGAGCGCTATACGCAGTGGGAGAGACGCGCCACTCAGACACTGTGCTCGGTGCTCACACACACGGGGAGCGGTGGGGGAGGTGGGAGCGGTGGGAGCGGTGGGGGCGGTGGGTGGGGGAATGGTGGGGGAATGGTGGGGGAGCGGTTGGGGAGCGATGGAGTGTAAGGCAGTGTCAGTGAAACACTGGGTCATAACTGAATGAAGGTGTGTCTGGAGGGACACCAGAGTGCTACAGGACCAGGATTACCAGGACTATGACCAATCAGGAACGATGGGAGGCAGTATCTGAAACTAATACCATGGATGAAGGAGAACCTCTTTGGAGGTTCTTCCATCCATGCTAATACCATCGAAAACTTCTGGTTTGCTAGCGCTTATCCTCAGTTCAAACTCTAAACTAGTGTTCGTTGATACCCCAAACTACAAAGTCTGGTGGTCACACAACATCACATCAACCAAACGACGGTGTAACACACGGCACACCAACTCACAAGAGGACCATACTGAATTATACAACACCCGGATTTAAATAATACCACACACACGCGCACACATCACACTCAGATCGCCCCGCGATAACCCGCTCTGACGCTGTGTCTCTGCCAGGCAGGTTAGCCCTCCCCGGGTTAGGGTTAGGGTTAGGGTTAGGGCTAGGGTTAGGGTTAGGGTTAGGGCCCAAAGCCAGGCGGGTTAGGCAGCAGCCATGCGACCCACGGCACGCCGACAGCAGTTACTTGTTGCTCGTCGGAAGAAGAGTCGGCGAGGCAGTGCTTCTCCTGGAGCAGGGAGCTGACCTGGGGACCGACGGCCGCCGAGAGGGGGGCTTCAGAAACGGCCGGACTGGACCCCCACGGGTACCGGGGTACACGGCGCCAAAAGTATCGGTACAAGGTACCAGGTACGGGGGAATACGGCGTCAGGGGTACCGGGAGTACGGTGTCAGGGATACGTATTGGAACGGTACTAGCTAAGGTCCCTGTGATACGGGGTTATCCAGGCTAAGAAGTGCCGGGAACGTAGGGCGTCCATTTACCGTTTAGCCGGTAGGTTCGGGACAGTGAATGAATCATTATGGAATGTGCCGGCCAACATGCCAGCCAGCGGCACGGATCGAAACGTACGGCGGGAATATACCCCGACAGACGTGAATTTTGCGTGAATCCACCGTACCTGACGAAGTATTAATGAAAAATGCATCGCGAGATTTCCATTTAAGGCAGAGAAACACATTACTGAACTTGGATCACTGCAGCCTTCTTAAAAGATATATCAAACAGATGTATGTAGCTACTTAAGGCCGTACTAGAAGTATCGTGCAATTTTATGGAGGTCGGTAAAGGAAGATGGGCTAGGCAGGGAACGCTGCATTTCGCGACGTCATTAGCTATATTATACACCGCACAATGCTCTATACATAGTGCACAAAACATACACTATACAAACTGCTGGATAAAGTAAGAAAGAGATGATTCGCAAAGCAACAAGCATTAATCCACCAAACATATGCTAACAAAAAGCATGTGCAGAAAAGAGCAAGGCGGATCGGAAATAACGTCAAACGCATTGATGTTATTCACATTAAGACGAGCAGACATCAGCTTACACGAGATCGCTGGAAGCACTATGACCGCTGATACTTTAAGAGTTCAAAGGAGAACGGAGGCGGGGAAGGAAAACGAACCGTGAAATATCCACGGATACAGTCGTGACTGAGTGGACCCTATTTACTCGATTTGCTTCCGTTATAGCAAACTCCCTGGTAACTAATGGGAGTCCTTCATGGATCAGGTCAGGAGCTTGCAGGTCAGGGCTGGGTCAGGTCAGGGTGACAGGTCACAGGTCAGGGTCCCGGGGTCAGGAGTCCCGCTCCGGCCCGGACCGGCGGCGGCCGCCCACTCACCATGTCCCGAAGCAGGTCGATCTCGCGGCGCATCTCCTCGTTGCTCTCCGGCGGCGCCAGACTCGACTCACGCATCAGACGGTCGTCGCCGCTGCTGCCATCTGACGCCTGGCGGCGGAACTGACAGTTCAGCCGGCGGCCACAGGCGCCGCGCCGCGCCCGGCTCTGTTATATTCAGTGCGGGGAATATTTGTTTCTGGTCCCTAAAAAGCTGTTTCTGGCACCTAATTGCTGATCAGCCCCAAAATGCTTATTCGACCCTAATATCTGAATCTGGCACCTAATTGCTTCCACACAGCCTAAAGTTGCCAGATCGTCTAGTTGAACTCCGTATTTGCTGTTTGCTGATTCAGCACCAAAACCAAAACATCCAGCACCTATTTTATTCCACGTTTGCCTACCTAATTCGCGTAATCTTCCTGATTTTATGTATCCTAACAACATGAACGTTGCATTCGGTGATGTCAAGTGCCATTTTCGCCAGTGGAGATAATGATTAATGCCATTTCTAGCCAAAAGAGAATCACTAGCCAGCTATGGTGCAGCGTAGCAAGACGCTCCTATACCAGCCCGCTATGTAGAGACTAAGAGACTTTGCACCCTCAGCCATTTTAACGTGAAAAGTTTGGATCCGTCACTTCCAGCCAGGCTCTCAGGTCATAAACTGGAGTAAAGCAAAATGTCAACTCTGAACAGACATGCCACGCAACTGGCCCTCTTTTCAATATTATTAGCTTTCTGCAATCATCGTCTGACTCCATCTCGATCAAAGGCAGCATCCGGTTTCTACAGGGGCGTTTGACTCACCGGCCACACAATAACCAAAAACAAAATCAAAGCTTCATGCACACATATGCCATACGTAAGAAACGGATGAAAAAGGCACAACCACGGCACAACTCTGCGCGGCAAACAACGGACAATGTCCCACGCAAGATCCCGCGTTTCTTCAGCGGCCTTGAACGGAATGTAAACATTACATTTCTTTTTTGGAGCTATTTGATGACGTCAAAAAATACAATACCCGTTTTAATGGTCAAAATCGAGACAATTACTCACAAAAATGTTTCCCTTTAAGCATTACAAATAAATACTTTTGAATATTTAAATGACATTGTTTTTTTTCAAACAAATTAATATTATTTGCTTACTTAAACGTCATATACAATGCTGAGATCACTACGGGGCTGTCTTAGAGTGTAGCTGCACTGGCAACCTTTAGGCTAGACTCCAGGGGTCATTATACCAGAACAACATGATTCTACCAGCCAGTAGTTCATTTTTCTACTAGATTGGTGCTACGCTCAGCATTTAGGTGCCAGATTCAGAAAAAAAGAGTAAGGCGTACCGATGAATAGGTGCCAGAAACAGCTAATTAAGGTCATTTTCCATGATTGGTGCTGGTATCCACCAAATAGGTGCTGAGGACCAATTTTGGGGCGAGTCAGCTTTTAGGTGCCAGAAATAGCTTTTCTGGGACGCAATTAAATGGCGTCCATTCAGTGCTACCGTCACCGCGCGGCCGGCGTGCGGTTATCCTGAGCGACCGAGATAGAGAGACACAGAGAGCGGCCGACCGGCACGGAGAGAACAGCTATGTACAGTCGACGGTCACAGTGACGGTTAGTGAGGCAGTGACCGACCCACAACCGGTCAGTGGGGGGAGGTACAGGGGACGGGGGGGGGGGGACTCACCCGCCGGTGGTGGTTCGCCTCCAGACTGTTCAGACTGCTGTCCTTGGTCCGCTCGCCAGAGTCGCCGTTCTCTGGACTCTGAGAGAGAAACGACAGAGCAACGAGTTAGACTACAACCGCGGGCGTAGCACTACATCAGCCCCCGCTAGCATCGGGAGCGAAACATATAACTATGCAAACAATTTCTGTGACTAGGCCTGAGCGCAGCATACCAGATAAAAAAAAAACTAGTGGCCACGTAGGTGATTCATGGAATCACATTTTTGAGCGCCAAACACTTATAATGCTAATACCAGCCGAGAGCCAGCCCAAGTCAAGTAGAACCCAACACAAACACGTCACCACTGCTCGTTACACAGGCAGCCGGCAGTTGGTCGCGCACACCCACCTCTGTGCGGGTGGGCCGCAGCAGCTCGTTCTGCTCGGCCAGCATCCTCTGCGCGTTCTCCCGGCGCTGCAGCTGCTCGATGGGCGCGTAGTCATCCTCGGAGGCCACAGAGTCATAGAGCGGCTCGTCGTCATCCCCCTCAGCCAGAGCGGCGGCCGCCGCCGCCGCCGCCGGGCCCAGCTGTCTGCGGCGCGCCTCCTGCAGCACGTCCACGATCAGCGCGCGAAACTCGGGCGCCGTGAAGCGCGCCAGCTTCTGTCGGCCCTGGTTGCGCGTGGAGGAGAACTCGGGGTTGACAGGCAGGAAGGGCACCGAGCCGGGCCCGCTGGTGGCGGCCGGGTGCTGCGCCAGCCAGTGAGCGTCCGTCTCGCGCCGGTCCACCTCGTCATAGACGTCGGCCGCCAGCTCCGCCAGCAGCCGGGACTGCAGCTGAGGGAACACGGGGAGGGGGAAGGGAGTTACACACGTCAGCGGCCAGCAGCCGGGACTGCAGCTGCTGAGGGAACACGGGGAGGGGAAAGGGAGTTACACACGTCGGCGGCCAGCAGCCGGGACTGCAGCTGAGGGAGCACAGGGAGGGGGAGGGAGTTACACACGTCGGCGGTCAGCAGCCGGGACTGCAGCTGCGGTAACACAGGGAGGGGGAAGGGAGTTACACACGTCGGCGGTCAGCAGCCGGGACTGCAGCTGCGGTAACACAGGGAGGGGGCAGGGAGTTACACACGTCGTCGGTCAGCAGCCGGGACTGCAGCTGCTGAGGGAACACGGGGAGGGGAAAGGGAGTTACACACGTCGGCGGCCAGCAGCCGGGACTGCAGCTGAGGGAGCACAGGGAGGGGAAGGGAGTTACACACGTCAGCGGCCAGCTCCGCCAGCAGACGGGACTGCAGCAGCTGCGGGAACACAGGGAGAAAGGGTTACAAAGAGTCATCAGACGGGACTGAGGGAACACAGGGAGGGGGTACATTACTGCCAGCACACGTGACTGTAGCTGAGGGAACACCGGGAGGGAGGGACGGTCATACACGGTCATCAGCCAGGACTACATACGAAATGTAAAGGTCCACGCTCGATTCTTATCAGTTTATCACCAAACACTCACACACACTGAGTACACAGCACGGCAAGGCCCCTCCCACCCCACACCAGCTCCCCTCTCGCCCCTCGGTGTACTCACGTTCCGCAGTTTGAGCCGAGCGTTGACCAGGGCCTCGGTGTCGGGTCCCACCGGCGGCGGCACAACAAAGTGCTGTCCGGCCGCGTGGTCGGGCCGCCGGCCGGTCAGGAAGTAGGCGAGCCGGTCGGTCAGCTCGTACTGACACTCCTCCAGCCGGCGGCAGAGCTCCGAGTGGCCGGCCTCCCTGCAGTAGAGAGAGGGGGTGTGAGAGAAGGAGAGAGGGACGGCAGAGCTCCGAGTGGCCGGCCTCCCTGCAGTAGAGAGAGGGGGTGTGAGGGGAGGAGAGAAGGACGGCAGAGCTCTGAGTGGCCCGCCTCCCTGCAGTAGAGAGAGGGGCGTGTGAGGGGAGGAGAGAGGGACGGCAGAGCTCCGAGTGGCCGGCCTCCCTGCAGTAGAGAGAGGGGGTGTGAGAGAAGGAGAGAGGGACGGCAGAGCTCCGAGTGGCCGGCCTCCCTGCAGTAGAGAGAGGGGGTGTGAGAGAAGGAGAGAGGGACGGCAGAGCTCCGAGTGGCCGGCCTCCCTGCAGTAGAGAGAGGGGGTGTGAGAGAAGGAGAGAGGGACGGCAGAGCTCCGAGTGGCCGGCCTCCCTGCAGTAGAGAGAGGGGGTGTGAGAGAAGGAGAGAGGGACGGCAGAGCTCCGAGTGGCCGGCCTCCCTGCAGTAGAGAGAGGGGGTGTGAGAGAAGGAGAGAGGGACGGCAGAGCTCCGAGTGGCCGGCCTCCCTGCAGTAGAGAGAGGGGGTGTGAGAGAAGGAGAGAGGGACGGCAGAGCTCCGAGTGGCCGGCCTCCCTGCAGTAGAGAGAGGGGGTGTGAGAGAAGGAGAGAGGGACGGCAGAGCTCCGAGTGGCCGGCCTCCCTGCAGTAGAGAGAGGGGGTGTGAGAGAAGGAGAGAGGGACGGCAGAGCTCCGAGTGGCCGGCCTCCCTGCAGTAGAGAGAGGGGGTGTGAGAGAAGGAGAGAGGGACGGCAGAGCTCCGAGTGGCCGGCCTCCCTGCAGTAGAGAGAGGGGGTGTGAGAGAAGGAGAGAGGGACGGCAGAGCTCCGAGTGGCCGGCCTCCCTGCAGTAGAGAGAGGGGGTGTGAGAGAAGGAGAGAGGGACGGCAGAGCTCCGAGTGGCCGGCCTCCCTGCAGTAGAGAGAGGGGGTGTGAGAGAAGGAGAGAGGGACGGCAGAGCTCCGAGTGGCCGGCCTCCCTGCAGTAGAGAGAGGGGGTGTGAGAGAAGGAGAGAGGGACGGCAGAGCTCCGAGTGGCCGGCCTCCCTGCAGTAGAGAGAGGGGGTGTGAGAGAAGGAGAGAGGGACGGCAGAGCTCCGAGTGGCCGGCCTCCCTGCAGTAGAGAGAGGGGGTGTGAGAGAAGGAGAGAGGGACGGCAGAGCTTCGAGTGGCCGGCCTCCCTGCAGTAGAGAGAGGGGGTGTGAGAGGAGAGAGGGATGGCAGAGCTCCGAGTGGCCCGCCTCCCTGCAGTAGAGAGAGGGGGTGTGAGAGGGGGAGAGAGGGACGGCAGAGCTCCGAGTGGCCGCCCTCCCTGCGGCGGACAGAGGGGGTGTGAGGGGACGGAGAGAGGGGAGAGGGACGGCAGAGCTCCGAGTGGCCGGCCTCCCTGCGGCGGACAGAGGGGTGTGTGAGGGGACGGAGAGGGGGACGGCAGAGCTCCGAGTCGTCGGCCCCTCTGTGGCGGGGAATACACAGGGTCAGAGAAAGAGAGGTCGGGGAGGTTCAGGGGACGGCCACAGGAGACACAAATAAGAATGTCTCGCTTAGCTAATCTAATCTCTCTGTAAGTAAAGTCTAGCATTTTCCAACACGTAAGGACTATGCACATCGGCTAGTTTGCCATTTCCGCCTCACGTCCAGCTGCTCAGTGTTTCTCACCCACCTGGCGTGCTGGATGGGTGTGAGGCCGGCCCGGTCCGGCCGCGACGGGTCCGCCCCGTACACCATCAGCAGCTCGGCCTGCAGCGCCTGGCCGGCGCGCGCCGCCACGTGCAGCGGGCCCGTGCCGCGCTCCTGGGGAGGACAGGTAATGGTAGTCAGAGGGCCGAACGGATACAATGTTCCCGGGGACGGGGGAAAATATACGAGCTACAAGAGCCGCACGGACAGACATGGGTGCTGTGCTACACAATATCAATACCTTGCTATCAGCGCGAAACTAGAGAGGAATATCAGAAATTTAGGAGAGCAGCGTAAAAACTAGTCTCTAATCCAAATCAATCACCCCCAACACAACTATGGAGTCCGAACATCAAGCCTACCTCACCGCTCCAGCCCGGCAGTTCACTGACAGCCCAATCTCCCCCCTCCCCAATACTGTACCGGGTGCCAGTAGTTGGGGTTGGCGCCCAGTGACAGCAGGCGCAGGCTGGTCTCTGTGTTGGGTGTGCGGCAGCTCGAGTGGAGCTGGAGACTCGTGTCGCCCTCAGCCAGCTGTCGATCGTCCTTCCCGGGTCGGTACACGAACGCCAGCATCTGGTGCTTGTCGCGAATAAACTTGGCCTTATTCGGGCTGTGGACACAGCGGAGTTAGGTGAGAGGTGGGCGTGGTCGGGAGAGGTAGGAGTGGTCATGTGATGTGGAGCGTTTAACAAACACAGGACGTCTTTCAGATGAGACAAGGATGAAGTAAGGAGAGTTTGACATGGTTCTTGTCGAGGAGCAGCGTAGGGTAGGGTTATACGATACATAATATACAATAGTCGGTACAGACGCCCCGGTCCGCCGGAAGTGCTCCGTTAGAGTCGGACAGTTTACGAATTTTGCACGTCCGCTGTGCTCACTTGGGACTGCCCAGCTGGACACGACAGTTGACACCGCGTAAATACAGCAATGCACAGATGCCACAGGGACGAATTTCGTGGCGGCGACATGACGTCGTATCAGCTCCTTCCGGTTACCGACATTCGACAACCACAACATAAACAATCCTTCATCACGCTCAGCCGAAGAGTGTCGACAGCTGGTCCCTTTGATGCCTCAACAAGTCAACAGCGATCAGCGTACCCAGAGACTCAGCCAGAGGCGGGCTTAATTCATCACCCTATTGATCAATCTGTCAGCGCCCTTCCCGCCTGCTCTGTCTCGTCCCTCCCCTCCTCTCTCAGGGAAGGTCGCGATTATTCGTCATCTCCCATCCTCCACACCGTCCGCCCGAGCTCGACAGCCGGTCGGACGGACGGACGAATGGTCCACGGCCCACCGTTCACCGCGAGACATCATCCGTCCGCGGCCAGCCGGCTGAACGCCTGAGCACCGATAACCGGCGATGTGTGCTCAGCGCCCGGCGAGTGTGTCCGCCGCCGGCCGGCCGGCGCCGCTGACTCACCCACTCCCACCCGATCGATCCCCGGCCCGGCCGGCTATGGGCACCTACTGCACGGGGTCGGTGGGCGCCGGCTTGCGGCGTCCCAGCTTGCCGTGGGACGGGTCCAGCAGCGAGTGCTCCCAGATGTTGTTGGCGCTCGAGTCGGCTAGGTTCTGCACCATCTGAGAGCACACGGGCCGGCGGCGCGGCGGTCAGGGACGGGTGGGAAGGCCGACGGCGGGCTGCCAGTGACGCCGGACTAAAAGAGGACACTGCATCGGCCGGCACCGGGCAGTCGCACAACTCAAAGGTGTGCAATGAATGAATGAATGAATGAATGAATGAATGAATGAATGAATGAATGAATGAATGAATGAATGAATGAGCGGATAACTACCGCGAAATACAATCAAAAGTGTCGATAAAAATACACAATCCTTGGGTACAAAAGTGAAACCAGACCCCGACAATAGTCTCCTTACAAGAAATCCATCTGGTGACCTTACAGACATCCTGCGACCTGCCCACTGTCTTACCAACCATGACACGACTTCTCCCAGCCTATCGCACCAGACCACCGTCCACGGACCTACCTTCAGCTGCTGGGCGTTCCAGAAGCCGCGCCGGAGCGACTTCACCTGCGAGATGTGCCGGCCCAGGCTGCGGTGTACGCTGCAGCAGTCGTCGCAGATCAGGATGCCCCGGTTGATGGAGGCCCAAGACGGCTCTGCAACGGCCAGCGGCGGGGTGATGGTGAGCGGCACGGTAGAAACGCCAGCGGGGCAGTGAGGGACAGTGTTCTAAAATTGGATATTGGTTGGGTGTGCCGATGAAGAAAAAAAATCCTAGGATGAGAAAAAAGAAAGTAAATAACTGCAGTATTTTTGCAAAATGGTGTAATACCAATTTTTATGCTAACTGATAAACCAGGATTTCATGTCAGGATCTTGACAGGGTGTGGAACAAAAGGATGTGGGTGCATCAACTGTCAAGTGACAAGTGAACTGACTGTTGGGAATACATGAAACTCTTTTCAGAGATGAAGTAAAGTCGGTCATTCATATTTTAGGGATGAAAATATTTTCCCCATTAGGTGTGATTTGCCACCAAAAGGCTGAAAAATGAAACACTGGTGAGGGAGAAGCGACACGGGTGGAGGAGGCTCCCGTGCAGGGCGGAGGAGGCGCGAGTAGGACGATAGCGATCGAGGTCTGGCCTCTGCGAGTGCGGAGACAGAGGGTGGTTGGTGTCATGGCAACATGGTGATGGCATACATAGATTGTGCTATTGCATTACAAATGGGAAAAGTAATGCTGAATAATTGCTTCATTGTCTATTATTAGGGGCTAGAAAAATCATTTTACTGAATGGTTGGGCCATAACACCAGGAAACAAATTACAAAAAAAAAGAAGAGAAAAAGAGATAGGTACCCGAATAAAACTATCAATCAACAACAGGCAAATAAGCATTAAAATCCACTGGCGATCAGTCTGGTCATAGTCTGGTTATACTCATACCATCAGTTAAGAGTTAAGACCTTGAGATCCATAAAAAATGAAATATTAAGACTAGTCATGTATTATGCTATTTGATTTTTACTAAATGCATACAAATATTATTCCACACTTTTGTAAAAAAAAGAAACTGGCTTATCATACAACTGATTTCCGATTTCACTCATCTCTTAATCTTAATCTTATCTCTTAAGAAAGGTATACTTCATAAATATATGTTAGACAAGAAAGTTTGGCAGAGCCCAAGCCAGTGCTGGAAATGAGGCCGCTTTCTGGTCCCGGCGTTTTATTCTCCTCGCGGGTTAATCCCGTCCAGCGTTTAGCCTTTAGGGACCCACTCAGGGTCGCGGTTGTTTTCGCCGCTCGCCCCAGTCGAGATACAAAGTTAATAGTCACACTAACCTCATTTAGGGCCAGCCAAACCAGTCTAGTCTGGAGTTACTGTTAAATGTATGCATATAGATGAAAGAAAAAGGTTTTGTAGAATCGATTAATTTCCAAGTCGTATATTTAGAGGCCCCAAATAAACTTCGTGCGACTATCAACTTTGCATCTTGAATGGGCCGAGCGGCGAAAACAACCGCGGCTCTGAGAGGGTCCCGAAAGGCTAAGCGCTAGACGGGGCTAACTCACCCGGAGAATAAAACGCCGGGACCAGAAAATGGCCTCATTACCAGCACTGCCCAAGACATTTAGGGCTATGACATTAAGTAGAAAAAAATGGAAAAGAAAAAAAGAAGAAAAAAGTCTCGGGTATGGGGGCCTCAGGTAAGTAGTAAGTACTACCTTGACCAGTTCCTCAACCTTTACCCCTAAAACATTGATAGAATCCTGAGATGATATACAGCACTATCCAGGGGTGAACGGTATTTATTTACTTTAGGTCCGCAAAACAGAGGGGTAAATAAAAGTCATTCACACGATACTCTAAGACCTCCTGATTTCATTTCTGATACTTATTCCTTCTAGAAACGAATTTAAAAGCACTAGTACACTAGTATCACCGGTATCACCACCAACGGCCTCACCTCCGACCGGAACTGCACGTGTCAAAAGACCGTCTGCGCGGCGCACCCGCTACAAATGGTCCAACCAAGGTTGAGCGAAATTACGGATGATAATAAATTGTAAGGAAAGTGACGTCAAAATAATCGAGGCGGAGCGGTGCAGTGCCGAAGGCAATGCCTTAGGAGAGATTACAGGCAATGGTAAGTCAAATATTTTTAGGTTAAGTGGTTGTGTATCTGGCTTCAGGCCGAAGGCCTGAAGCCTGATGCATAACCACTTAACCTAAAAATATTTGACTTACCATTGCTTGCAATCTATTCATGCAGGCCACTTTTTCCTTTTCCCCCAGTAGGCAAACATCAGTAGGTCAGGTTAGGTAAGGTTTGGTTATGTTCTGATCATTTTCTCATGCTCTATTACTTTTGCTAAATATTTTCTCTTTTTTATTCACCGTTTTTCTTGTGCTTTGGTATTATGTCATTTTCATAACGTCGAAAACTAATGAATATCCGCATCATTTTTTTTTTCTTTTATAGGGCAGCGTTGTATATTTCGTTTTTGTCGCGGAAGCGTGCTTTCTTCAGTGTATATTGTGCAGCAGTGCGGTGTAATGTGCTGGGGTTTTAGTATCTTATTTTACATTTTTGATGCATTTAAGCATCATATCTGAATTCAGGACATCAAATAGTGTAAGAATGTGCATTTTTTCTTGTTAAAATAATATTGCGGACCTAAAGTAAATATTTACCGGGTGAACTAAGACTAAGGGCTAAAATTTATAGGTATATCCCAAGATTTGCGATAAATTAATTGATACTTGATACTTGATAGGCAGTAAGTAAGGCTGTATGATTAGAATATACCTAGTATCTACCTACTCAATTGCTCAATGTCAATTATACTCAATTGGTACTCAATTGCAATACTTACCTAAATACCTAATCACACTTTGAGAAGTTATGAAAATATCAGCACAATTTATCATTGGTCCAAAAAGTTGGCTTATCATTTTATTACAATGATAAATTGATGATTAAGAATAATTATTTAACTATTGAACATACTTTATGTTTATTACCTATTACCTAACAATAATTCATGAGCTTGCATGATAAAAACATTGCGCTCTGTTCAAAGAACCAATAAAGATAAAAAGAAATTAAATTCCTTTCAACCTGAAAGACACATGATATAAGTAAAGTGTGTGGTGAGCATGGTGCATAAACAAGAAATCAGCCAATTCAATTTCAATGCCTGGGTAGGTAATAAAAGTACCCAGCAAGAGTCGCAAATCTCAGCACTACGTTAGGCTAAACACAAGGCTAAACATCACTATTCAACACACTATGACATGAAAAAAGAATAGTATCTTACTACAATTTTCTATGATAAGAGAAGCACAAAATTTTTGACAAAAGCACTTGTCCTTCTGCATTGCTCAGTCCAAGTTGAAGTCCAAGTCATTCACAAACACAAGTTCAACTTTCACATGGTTGCAGAGTAAATTTTCACTACGACATTGAATATTTTATGTAAAAATCATACTACCTGAAGAAAACTTACCAGGGGCTCCACAATCTGCACATCCACCTTTTATTTGCCTCATCTTGTGACGAAGTAACATGATTGCGGAAGAACACCTCTAATTAACAGAATAAAACTAGTTCCTAAATCTCTAAATATCACATATTATGCTCCAGTATTTGGCGTTCGTCAGCTCTCACAATCATCACTTAAGCATGATATCAGGAGACCAAAAATATATGATTTATCGTGATAAATCTTCCGATTTGGATTCAGCTTGTTTGCCCCCTTGCTTCTGGCCTCCTCTGACGACAATTCGTCGAATCGAAGCTGGCCAAAAGGTGATGATCTTGATGAAGGGATAGGACAGCTATCAAAAAGTTATAAATTTCAGTCCAACCTCAAAACAAAAATTAATTAATGAATAATGATAATCGCACAACACCACCGCCCTCCCACACTCTCTCGCATTTTCATAACAACGCTGAGTGGGCGGCATATATGACTCATTTCGTCGCGGATGGGCTGCCAAATTCCCTACTACGAACTAAAAACCTTTATTCATTCAGCTTCGCATTTTTCGTTGACATCGCCCCATATTCCATGGGGCGTTTGATGTTATCCAATCAATGATGATCGATCCCCTTCCCCCCCCCCCCCCCAAGTAATATTGGTCCATAGGACATGTTCGTGAACTAAGATCTTCGAGCAGTTCTTACTGCAGCTTTCTCCTACGAGCGGAATTACAGTGGAGAGCAACTGAAACACCCCAGCCTCAGCTCGATGGGAGTTGCTAGCATCGAACCCCACATGTCGTACATTCATTGATCACATTATATCTACACGGCTTCTCTACCATTCCGTGGTGTGCCCTGAACCATGCGTATCGCGTCGTCCATGGTTTTATCGGCCACGAATGATGAATCATTGGCTGCAGTCACTCACACTGGCAACAATTCGTCTGTGGGTGGGCATAACCTTATCTGTGACCTGTGTTACCTTCCTAATCTACTCAGCGACCGGTTACAATTTCACGTATCAAAGTCTAGAAAGGGCAAACTATCACCCCAGCCTTTGTCAAACCGGCTAATATTACCAAGTATCACGCCTGGTCCCGCGTTAGCTTCCCCGCCCTGTACACAGCCGGTCAGGGGCAGGGCAGCCGGGCCGGAATACGGACGCAGTGCGGTAACTGATATCGTCCTACGCGGCAACAGACACTGTGCAATGCCGGACCAGCGTCCGGACTCCGGAGCCCTGTTATACGGCACGCGGCGGCCCGCTACCCGACGTAACCAGACGGGTGGGTACGTGAGAGGAGCCATGGAACACGCTGCCGCGGCCTGGCTACCTGCGGCGGCCCCCTCTCACGCAGAACTCCTGGAACGCGAACTGCGAGCGGCGGCCCGGATCGTGACGGGGTGCCCGAGATCTACACCGAGCCACGCACTGATGGCGGAGGCGAGGCTCGCCCCGATGGCGGAGAGGAAGCAGACGCTCGCAGCTCGGCTACTGACGAGAGCGCTGGCGCTCCCTCCGAACGACCCCCTGCGAGCGACAGCTGAGGCCGCGGCCCCGGCGCGCCTGTCCTCGGTCAGAGGATGGAGGTCGCTGGGCCGCCAAGCCTGGGCCGATGCAGGGATCTCGGCACCGATCGAGCCGATTCTCCCACCGAGAGTACCACCATGGGAGCAGCAGGGAGCGCGCATCTCCTTCACACTGGACGTCGGCCCGCTGAGGACAGGTGCGACGGCGGAGGAGAAGGAGAGGACTGCCGCCCAGCACCTAGCATCCCTACCACAGTGCGCGGTGTGGATGTGGTCGGACGGGTCCGCGGAGGGCGGCACAAGGAACGGAGGGGCTGGAGCAGTCATCATGTGGCCGGATGAGGAGGTACTGGAGCTAAGAGCTCCGGCGGGTGACTTCTGCTCCAGTTACCGTGCAGAAATGCTCGCCTTAGTTACGGGCCTGGAGACCCTAACATCACGCACCAAAGATAGCGACCTACCACTGATCATCTGCTCCGACAGCATGTCGGCACTGGCGACCCTGCGGAATGGCCCCGCCGCCCAGACGTCACCGCTGGGGACGGCGGCCTGGAGAGCTCTACTGCAGCTAGCCAAAGATGGTCGAGAAATCAGGGCCCAGTGGGTCCCTTCTCACTGTGGCATACACGGCAATGAAGAGGCGGACAGAGTGGCCCGGGAAGCAGCCCAGCTCCCTCAAGAAAGGACGCCCATCGACACGAGGACGATCACCAGTACCGTGGCGAGATTGGCTAGGGACAAGACAATCCAGTCCTGGCCCCCCGGCTGGTTCAAGTCTCTGATGGGCGACCGCCGGCCCCCGTCCACGGCCGGCCTGGAACGGGAGAGCGCGGTAGAAGTCCATCAGATCCGCGCGGGCCACTGGGCAGGCTCAAGAGCCTACCTACACCGGATCGGTCGCTCCCCTACCAGAGACTGTGAGGGATGCAACGACGACCGGTGCGATGGAGCGCGCTGCCCCATCTGCGGCGAGGAGGCGGACCGGCCGGCCCACATCCTCCTTCGCTGTCCCGCTCTGATGAGGACCCGCCTACAACTCACCGGCAGTATCCATCCGGACTTGGAGGAGGTCCGGGAGACCAGAGTGGTGGCGGCCCTGGCGGCCGCCGCCCGCAACTTCCAGAGCCGCCTGGCTACGCCCCGATGAGGGGCGGAGGGAGTCACATCACATCACATCACGTAACCAGACAGTCGCTACGGTTTCCATGGAAACGAAAACAGCATTGTCAAGTGTGCCTACGCTTCTACGGTAGCGCTAGTACCTGATAGCAGCGGGTAGAGGAATGCCGTAAGATAAGGCACCGGTGAATTGGCTGGACGTGTATCCGCTTCCCTTTATCGTGGCTGTCACAGCACGGCCAGAAGCTCTTCCAACCCCACCGCGGCGAAGCGCCTCAGATGACGCACATGTGACCACCCAGCCCCGGCCAGGGCATCGCTCAGCAGCAGCAGCTCCAAAGGCATACCATATATTGGAGAAGCCTGCCAAAAGGGCATAACTGCAAGCATCGTTCATATTACCAGTTGCGGATCATATATACGACGCGCTCACGGCAGTGTCGCGCGTCCAGGCCGACAAGCACTGCCCTCCAATCGCATAAGCAGTAGGTGGCGGCGCCGGCCGCCGCGGTTATATTAACAGCGGCCGACGCGCTGAATCATCACGCTACCAACAATTAGCCACTCGTCCGTCCGATCACAAAATAAGGAGGCGAACAGGACCGCGCGGCCTCGGGCGCCGGCGGAGGTAATCTAGGAAGAGCTCACGCATATAATAACAAAGACTGGACAGGCGCCGGGCGCCGGGCGCTCGGGCGCTCGGGCGCTCTCCTCTGCCGCTGTGTGCCGGCTCGCTGGTGGAGGCGCGCGCCGCGGAGCAAGGCAGACTGGGGCGCGGCCGAGTCGGCGCCGGTGTGGAGAGTGAATCACAGATGTGCGGCTGAGCGCGGCCCGTCCCCCGAGCCACTCCCGCTGGCCGGACCGCCTCTAGGAGGGCCGGAACGTCCGACCGCTGCCGGACAGACAGACACGCACAGGGGCGGTTAGGGGGAGACGGAGCGGGGGCAGTGGTGACAGCAGGGAACTGCAGATGGCTCAGAGTTTCTGCGGCTCCAGGGTAAAACACAAGTCAAAAAATAAAAAAGTAGCGAGCATCCACAAGTTTTAACACGGAAAGGTGTAACTTATCGTCATAAGATACTTGATAGAGTAATATTCGAGCAGCTTCTTCACATTCAGACGATCTGAGTATTCAGAGGGAGCACACCTGTTACAGGTCGTATAGAGGGCGTTCTTTACCGCATTCATACCATTTGGGCTGGACCCGGACCTTGTCAGCAACCAGACGCATCGTGCACATGGTAAAGCAAACAGCGAGAAAAGACTGACAGCTGGCGCCTAGTCAGAAAACTCAAATGGTGCACTAAATGGTAGGCTATTGTAAAAGGCCTATTTTCTAATGATCGTCAGTCTCTCGAGTCTTACCTGATGGTTTTCTTTTCGGTCGACTTGGCCTCTGGTCGCGCCCGGTTCAACACCTTCAGGATCTCCGAGGTCTTGGCTCGCATACGCGAGTGGATGTAGGCCTTGGAGCACTTGATGTGGTAGTGGAGGTAGTCCCTGAACATGTGGATCAAGTTGATGGTGTTGTCGCGGGCGGCGCGGTTGGTGTGCCGCGGGAAGAGCACGAACGTGATGTAGCCGATGTTGTCTCCGACGCGCGCGTCCGTGTTCTGGAGCTCCAGCGGCGGCTCCCGGTGACTGAACAGCACTTGAGGAGCTGCGGAACACAGAGACAGGGGCCATCAGTTGGGGAGAAATACAGTGAATACGGAACGTGTTCCAATGACTGAACAGCACCTGGGGGCTGGGGCGACGGACACAATCACACTGTCAGTGCGGGGCAAATGTAAAACACGGAACATGCCCGCCCCATTGGCTGAACGGCATTTGGGCGTTAGACCGACAAGCAAACACACACAGAGACTGTTACTCCGCGACAAACGTCAAAGTTGCGGAATTTATATCGCGGAGGCTGAACAGCAGTTGGGCGCTGTGAACGAAACATATAATTATAAAACATAACGAAACACTGATCGTCAATCCGGGACAACACAGCGCAGACCAAATGCCCAACGTAAACTTCCAGCGACCAACATATAAAAACATAGGCACGCACCAAAATAAGCCCGCATCATCTAAAGAGTTGGTTGCGTCCATCCATACCTAGGTAAACACCTCGTCTTTCCCGAGCCGTCCGACCACGGCCAGTTCACGAGAAGCCGCCCGTACCTGTGTGACTGGCCTTGCGGCCCTCCTTGAACTCCTGCATGAACACCTTGCCGATGACGACGTCGTCCTCGTCGCGGAAGATGGTGCTGAACACCACCGTGACCCGGTCCGCCTTGGCCTCCACATACCTGCAGCGAGAGGGCAGCACCGAAGAGATCAGAGAAGCTCAGAGAACAGGGACACTGGGTACAGAAATTATAGAAAAGATAAGCAAACTTCTTCGACTGTGGGCTGGATGAAACCCACGGGGAGGTGGACAAAGCGCAGTACGACCGTGTCGTAAACGAATACAGTCTGCCATAAACGGCAATCACATTCTCACACAACATTTTCGAAAAATTGACAATAAAATAAATGGATTATTAACTGCTCCTACTAAATTGTGCTGTCCATTGCCAAAGGGTGAAATACACGCGTTCGGAGCTAAAAAAGTATCACGGAAGACATTGAATTTGCTGTCGATGCCAGCCGCAGACCGGACACGAGACGGACACGGATGGCGAGTCCGAGTTAGCTCGACCTTGGCTGGAGGGATGCGGGCATATAGAGCTGGTCAGGGGAGATAGACAGGAAGCTGGTGCTTGACAGGATTGGAGTACACAATCAAATCAACCGACCAGTGACAATGAGCAGGGGCACCAGGAAAGTGATTGGATGGAAATAGGACAGAAACAAGAGGCATTGAGGAATGAAAAAGTATACAAACAGCATGCGAAAAGATTAAAATGATGAGCAGCTGAGCATAAAAGTCAGTCAGTTAGACATAGTTTGGTACATAAGTACTCACATCGTTTCCTCATCTCGATAGTGAACCACAGCTCGTTTTGCACCTTCCTCTCCCTTCTCTTGGAATTCAAAATATTTAACAAACACTGACGCAAAGCAGTTCGTCTTCAGCAGGCCAATCTTTTTCACTAAGCTCTCCCAGTCATCAGGAATGTTATCCAGGTCCACTAGTAAAGACACATTGTAACCTGAAAACACAATGACAGCGAAATGTTAACTTGAGCAATATTGGTAATTTGGCAAAAGTGGTTTATTTGTCAAAAGCAGGATGAATAGGTACTCAATTAAAGTCATTTGAACAAAATGCAACAAATTGACCCTTTGCTAAAAATTCACCTGGACTTGGATGAGCTACACTAATGATTACAGTTAAATAATGAGCCATAACTGTTAACTAGACCAACATAAGCATGTTAGTTGACTCAGCCTTATAGTTGCCACACAAAGATGCTATCCAGACCAAACTCTCCTGTAGAATGATGCCACACTCCCCCAGCATGCGTTCTGCTGCCCCAGTCACAGCCAATACCTACCCTCTTCTGTGGCAGTGACGAGATCCCCATATATCTTCTGCAGCAGCTCATCTGCGCCGTGCTCCTGCAGGTCCTTGTAGAACTTCAGTGATATGCTCACCTGCGGTAGCCCATGGACAGTTGAAGCATGTGTGGGTGAAAATGTCACTAGTGATAAGATGGACCTAAAGTGTCAGAGCTAGTCTACATATCCCTGATCTGTTAGTAAGTGTGGCCCAGTTTTAGGGGCCCATGAAAACTGGAGACATTGGTTGGCAATGGCAATGAACTGGCATAAATTCTGACATGGTATCTAACAAACAGGATTATCTTTTATTTGAATGATTTTTGTCAGAGACTGAACATTTAACAAGCCCATGAAAAAGATATGATAGCCATATTACACTTATCAAGAATAGGTATACTTGGTGGATGTTCAATGACTAATGCCTAATCATCACTGGCATTTTTGCTGTGGCAAACAGCTACCTGTTTTTTATATGGTGGAAATAAATATATATTATTTTACTGCAACACTTACCCTAACTTTGGTCTTATCTCCATTCGGATTGGAAATGTGAAAGAGCACTCCATCAAAATCAGCCAACGTAACATCAATAGATTCATGTTTCACTCTGAAACAAGGGAAAACAAGTAAGATAATCCATTTGATTGAAAACCGACACAAAAAAGTCAGCATACAATTATCAAGTTTTGACATTTGACACTTCAATGTATGCATACCATAGTAAAAATTGACTTTGACTTGTGAAACAAAAATGCCATTCACTGAAATAAAACCAGACCTGTACATCCAAGAATAATAATGTGAAACTGACAATGGTGCTAACATTAAACAACATTATCCAATGCACACATGACACAATATAGCATTTATTCCACTCGCCAGGTCCACCACACCCCAAAACGTGAGTCATTGCTGGACATTCATTCTTTGGCATGAATCAATATCAATCTTGACATTGTAAAAAAAATTGTGGGCATTTTTACAATGATAAATTTATGTCAAATGATACAAATATGCATAAAATCACTCAATATAGCTACAAACCATATAATGTTACAATAGTGGCGCACAAACCGGCAGGCTATTCAGAAACAGTTGGAGATATAAGCACTTACCCAGCCTGTGCATTCTTGAACTTGAGCGTTAATGTCTCTTCGACAACCCTATTATTAGGCTCCAGAAGTATCATGATGGTAGCATTAGATAAACACCCGTTAAATCCAATTTGCAATTGGGCCAAAGGGTGTTGTTCTTCGTCGACAAAGCGCACGGAAAGCGATATTCATGGCGTACGCAACTCGTAATCCCATTGGTCGGTTTCGGCTGCTATCTAGTGGTGGAGTGTGATAACGAAAAATGAGTCGTTTATGTTATCGGACTCGCATAAGGCAATGCGAATCCAGCGAACCCACAACATACTGAATACTAAGCACCACTAAGCACTATACAACAAACAAGACACAGCGGACACAGCGGTCCATGATTGTGCCAATCTGGAAGTTTTTTTTTTACTGTCGAGTGCATAGGCGGCGGAACGGGGGAGACGGGCCGACGGCACCGGGGCACCGTGCTGCTTTTGATTTTGGCATTTTAACATTAGCGCTATCAGGCGTTGCATGGAATTTGGAAACAATGGGACCAAAAGTCGGCACTGCCCCCACCTTAATTGAAGCCTCAGCCTGAAGGTGTTCCGCCGCCACTGGTCGAGTGTCGATATCCAAGTCGTTTTTTTTTTGTTGTTGATGTCTTCATCAACGGCGATTTGTATTTTCGTACAGACATAGGCGCGCGGCAACCGGGGGGGGGGGGGGGGGCAGTGGGGGTAGCTTGCCCCCTCCCCCCAATTCTGGGGCCGTGGGGGCGGTTCCCCCACAACTTTTAGACGGAATACCGCAGGTACTTTTTTGCAAATGTACTCTTTTTTTGTTGAAAAAGCCAAGGGATGAAAAATAAGTGGCCTAAACACCGATGAGAAAACTAGATTTGAGGGTACCGCTAGGATGATCTGTAGGGGAAAGTGGGGTAAGACGGTCAGGGTAGGTAAGACGGGCACCCCTTCTGCAGACCAAACCAATAGCGCTACGAGCGAGAAAAATTAGGACCAGAATTGTCTTTCCCACTACACACCACCATTGAAGTTTGGTGATTTTGTGTTCAGTCGATAATCTTTTATTTTGATTTCTTTAAAACACTAATTTCATTGAAAACATCCATAATGTATTGTGCAAGTTTTTGTGTGCAGCACTATACAGCTAAAAACTCGCAATCACTTGTGGTACACTCATATGCCACCAGTGTTCATTTACCGCGGATTTGCTTTGTCTGCATCAAATTGTCCACAGAGAAAAATTGTGCTGAACTTCTTACATTGAGTTAGGGGTAAGACGGGCAACTATGAATCCAATGGGTCTGTAATGGTGAAAATATTTTTGTTGCTGTAGGAAAAAAAGAAGCATTTCTTATAAGAATATCTTCGATTCCGATACTCACAGACATGTTAGCAATATTCCTTCGGCACAGTTTATTCTCGAATGATGAATGTGAAAAACGGTTCTACATGACTTCTGATCTAGGGCCTATATACGAGCATACGCCTTCTGCACAAATCTTGTATACTGCCATTTCCGAGGCACTTGAGACCAACGAGCGACTGTATCAATGCAGCTAATTTCGGGCATTTGTTGCGAGCTGTACTGGTCGGTGAAAGAAGCTGGCCGTCTTGCCCTACCCATGTGACCGTCTTACCCCATGGGGTGGGGTAAGACGGGTTTTTGCAAGGTTTTGCAAAAATAGCTGCAGTTTATTTGTTGAATCAGGTCTAAGTCTCATCTTCTGGCAAATGGAAGTAAAATGTCTAAAAGAGGTTTTCACTCAGTTTCCCGTTTCTATGATGTTTCTAACCGGCCGAAAAATGGCTCCAAAGTTAAGGTGTCCGTCTTACCCCACTTTCCCCTATTATGGTGTGCCCCCCCCCCCCCCCAGTCTGAAAGCAGTTCCTGCGCCCCTGCGCACGGGAGGTAGCGCTGCACCCTTAGGGTAGACCGTGGCAAGGCGCCCGGGGGACCTCGACGGTCTCAATTAGGACCCGTCCGAATTTTAGAGGCCCGTATCCGGTTCGTGAGGGGCTTAAAAGCATTATAGAGTGTAGACCACGTGGAACTTTGTGCCGAGCTCGGGGTGCCCGACCGCGGCAAATCCGCCGCCGCCCTATAGTGGCGACCTTGACCTCCGCCGTCTGTTGCGGCTCCAAAGTCCAAAGCCAAGGTGGCGTGGAATTGGGAGAACTGGCTGAGGCTGGGCCACGGCCTCTGATGCCGATAATCCCACATAAAATAAGACCACGCAGAACCATACACTGGCCTCCATTCCGTCGTTTCCATCCTCAGGACGGTGAAATCCTTCTCATCGCCGACTGCAACCCCCACTCCGGGCTGGGCAGACACCTTTATCTCATGCGGGCTGCTCCCTTGGAGCGGCCCCGCTGCTCCCGAGGGCCGAGGGAGCGCATCCCGTAGCCGGGTGCAGAGAGTGCTTGGGGGACTGGTCGGTCTGTCCTTTCGGACGAGCTCAGCCCCGACGACTCTCTAGGGTGTCTGCCCAGACCAATGTCTCCCCCTAATTCCTATCATCCTTCCGGCTCTGAAAATGGTCTTGTCAGACCGAAAGGGCCTAACCCAACAAAACAAACAAACAAACAAATAAACAAACAAACAAACAAACAAACAAAACAAACAAACCACGCTGGTCACTGAGAGTTCCACACTGATCTCGTGTGACGGCACTGGTCTCCGAGGGCCTACACCGGTTTTGTTAGGCCAGAGCTAGTGTTAAGTAGAAACAACAATTTTATTTCTAGATAGTTAAGGTGTCAGAAGTTAAGCGGACACATATAGCCCGACAAGGTTCACCGACTCAGTGACTTGAACTGGCTGCAGCAGTTTCCACAAATCGCAGACCATCCCCGTCAGGAGGCTCCGCATATCGAGAGCCGGAACGACTCAAACCCCGGCTCTCAACACCGGGACTGCAAGGTTCTAAATCTGAGCTCCGGGGTAGAGCGGTTGGCGCCACGAACAGGACACTCGGCAGCTACATTACATTTCCGCCGCTAGATGGCAGCAAGTAACGCCTGAATTGATACTGCGCCGCACAACTCATCGGCGAGTGGTGACGCCTGTAGTTATGCTGTGCCGCATGGCACGTGCTTTTCCTCGGCTTTTGTATTACGACGCCGGACGGTCGATGCGGGCGAACCGAAGGAATCGATCACGGATGCACGGCGGAGACGGGGCAGAGAGGAATGTGAACAGCCGGTATCGGCCCAAACGTGGGAGGAGTGCGAACAACAGGCCGACAGGAAGCGCCTGTTTGCTGAATGGAACAAAAATGCGCAGCCGCCGCGGATGTGCTGATACGATACACGGCCGGGACTATTGGTCTTTTTGATGTCCGGCCAACTCCTGCTGCCAAACCTTCAGAGAGATTAAAAAACTGCAGCTTGCACGCCAACTGATAAGACGTATACCTATCGCAGTGCTACCGACCAGCTGACTAGCAGCCCCACGACACCCCAACTGGACCCGAGTGAACGCTGCAGGCCGAGACTGGCAGCCGCCATTCGGCGCTATGGCCAGCCCGCATCTGCCCGGGCCCATGGTCAAGGTGCTGATCCCCTCTGATGGATGAGCCGACGGCGGTTCATTATTAGACCGCCGGAGCGACCGGGCGCGGGACTGTCCCACCGGCAGCTGACCTCTGGGCTCTGACCACCAGCAGCTGAGCTCTGACCGCTGTCAGGTGACCCCTGACTACTGGCGGTTGACCTCTGACCGACGGTATCTGACCTCTGACCACCTGAAGCTAGCAACCGGAAACCGACCGGTGACCACCTGACCCCTGACCAGCTGACCTCTCACTACCGGCAGCTGACCGCTGACTACCGGAAACTTACCGCTGACCTCTGGAAACTTACCGCTGACCGCTGACCACCGGAAACTTACCGCTGACCTCTGACCACCGGAAGCTGACCCCTGACCAGCAGCCGCTCCCCCGGGCCGACCCGACGTGGACAGAGATGAACGTCCAGTCAATAATGGTCACTGACCCGTGCGAGTGGTGGAGGTGTCCGCGTGAGACTGAGACCGGAAACCATCAGGCACCGGTCTGCTTTATCTGAGAGGGTGCGCTGCGTCAATGGCCTTTGTAGTTTAGACTTAAGACATCTGTCAATGTCAACTTCTACCAACCGGAAGTACTTTGATAAAATTAAAATATAAAGTAAAATTATAAGAGCTACGATAGTTTCGAGTTAAGTCGGAGTTTCAGGCTCTTTGCCTTCATTGCAGCAAGCTTTCAAAGAGCGTTGTCTTGCATATCAGCTAAACGAACCACCAAACGTTTTTGCGTTAGCTTAGATGATTTATGGTTGAAAACATGAAATCATTTTTTTTTTGTTAGGATTGACGGAGACATCAGACATGCATCTGTTCTCGTGAAAACGGCTCGATCAATAAATGTAACTATCATCGTTGTTAAATGTTGTTCATCGATTTGTGTGGTTTATAATTCATATCTTTGCGGAATTAAATAGGAATAAATGTTTCCACTTGTTCCAGTTGTGTGCCGACTGTTTTACCTCGATCTTTGGCATCAAAGGACATCACCAATTCGTGTCAGAGACGCTCTGACCTCAGCTGCCAGGATTGACCTTTGTTGCTGCCGCTTCCGGTTGGCCCCGAGAAGTTACCAAACTCATCCAGATAGCGCGAAGTTTGGACCAGAGTACAGCGTGCCGAATGCAGCCTCAGAAAACGATCACACGCCCGCGCCAAGTGATACGGTGATTCAAAGCAATAAGGGCTGTGCGAGTGTTTGTAGTGAATTGGAGCCCATCACAATAGGTAGGTGCTTCATGCTTGTCTGCTTATACTGATGTTTTCACGAGACTGCTTAGATGAATAGGTAAGTACAATACATTTTCATTCATTGAATTTAGTAGTATTTAACGGATTCATTGACATACATTCAGCAGCGGCAAACAAAGTTCAGCTAAATAGACTCCGATGTGCACTCCAGCTCTGAGCTCAGCGAGCACACTCACGCCATGCAATCTGCATCCGCTGATGTTTGTCCTCTGTTGTACCGTCACTCTCAGCCCTGCCGCCGCCCTCAGCTGCTCTGACCCGACCTCCAGCGACCTGACTGGCTCTCTGACGCGGCCGTAACCGACCGTCGGGAGACCGCCTCCCCCTTAGGCCCTTACCTCTGGTCACCGGTGGACTGTAAGCTAATAATTAATATCTAATCGGTTTATCACGATATATTCTCAGTACTCTACCTCGCAAAGGCCAGCGTGTGTCAATGTCAACAGATTGATTAACTCTGGACAAACCCTTCCTGTCGGATTTTGGCAGGGAAGTTCCCCCTATACATATGTTGTCTTGCATCACCGCGCCGGGGAGATAGCATCCGTGTCGTGCTTTCATGTCGGTGCCACTGCGCCACCGTGTTTCACGCATCCCAGGCACGGCCTAATTAGCGCTGCTTTATCTTATCGGGCGTCATGTAAGTACATAACTAACCTAAACGGCGGTGAGCGCGATCGACCGGGCTGGCGGATCCGGCTCGCCCCGCGCCGCCGGCCGCTCCCGGGGAGGGCCCCCGCGCCGAGACCCGCCGGGACCCGCGGCCAACTGTGTCCAGCCGGTCAGCCAGTAACGCAATCATGGACTTTTGAAGTGTTTACTTTAGCTTATTTGTCTTTATGTATTTTCATATTTATTTGCAAGCATTCCTTTTGGTGATGTTCACCGCAAAAGTCCGAAATCAAGGATCCTGAATTGCAAACAAAATGGAATGAAAATGCAGGATTATAGGGAAGTCACAGGTGTGGGCGAAAACCATGTAATTATTTTTGCCATCATTCGTTTGAACTTCGAGAACAATCAGGAACCGATGTCAACCGATACACATCATTACCGATGTTAAAGACGATCCATTCCGTCAAAGACTGACCGCGCATTTAGCCACCTTTTTATCCAGTCCAGCATTCCAGCAGAGACGTCCACTCGATCATTCAACAACACCAACCGAACAGGAAAACTACACCGGCAATTTTACACAATATGCACGTCACCACACCGATGTTCCTTCACCCTCTCGCCCGATATTCCTCGCCCGACCACCCCGTCGCGCCGGCCTCTCGCCGTGGGGAGTTATACTGTGCCGCAGCACACGCAGGGGTAGACTGTGCCGCAATGCTACCATGCTGCGCTGCACCGCAGCCAGCGGCATAGAGAAAGGAGCTCTGTCACGGTGGAGTTTTGGTGGCGAGGTATCATGAGAGCAGTGGGTATTGGTGAAAGTCTTAATGAGAATATTGGTCAGTGCTGTTTGAATACCGAATAGCTAAAGGTGGCGGCGCCTATATAATCAACGTTTTTCAGTGAGACTTTCCAGTGAGAGTAACAGAGCAGTGATGATGAGAAATCATCACGCTGGGAAACTGGAATGTGCCAACGCTTGGAAACTGGAGAGTGACATGCGCTACAAGTTGTATACACCCTGTGGGATATGATTAATGTGGTTATCTTCGAAGGCCTTACGACAACATCCACACTCCACAACTTACTTCATTGAAGTAGCAGCAATGTTATATAGGCATGCATTACCTACCTATGAGACGTGAGATTGATAATCATGAATAAAGTTGTAGGTAAATCACTGGGCTATGGGCTGAATTTATAAGTTAAATTTGACTTCTAGTACCGTAAATTGTCAATAAGTGTGTGACTTGTGTCATGTGTGTGGCTGAGTGAGTGTGTGAGAGAGAGAGAGAGAGAGAGAGAGAGAGAGAGAGAGAGAGAGAGAGAGAGAGAGAGAGAGAGAGAGAGAGAGAGAGAGAGAGAGAGAGGGATAAGAACATAAATGGGCGGCAGTCTGAAAGAAGCACCACAGTGAAGAAAAGGATGAAAAGGTCGTTTCACGGGAAAGGCTTAGAGGCATTGACATTATCTCTGACCGAATCGCGAGTAAAGGTACATGGTCTGGAAAACTGTCCCACTCCCACTGTCTAACATTTCTTTGACGACACATTAAATCCGGCTGAAAGTAGGGCGGCTCGCTAATGAGATACGCCCTGAGCTGAGTCCGGCTGAGCTGGGTGAAGGACGACCTGCTGGGTTGCGGCTGGGCCGGCGGAATCCAGGGGAGCCCCGTCGGCCGGCGGCTCCGTCTCCGGCACAAATAATCGCCGGCCCAGCTGACGCGTCGCCGTCGGCGGCGGCGGGGCGCCTGCGCCGCCCCCGCCCAGCAGTCGATCGTGCGCGGCCGCGGCGCTGGCCGCTCCTCCGTTTACATTGCGCCCGCGCTGCCACCTGGCGTCGAAAATTCTGTCGCCATCCAAGATGGCCGTCGCCAGGAGTGAGCTGCAGTGAGCGCGGTGTGATGCCGGTGGCAGCGGCCCAGGCGAGACGTGCAGCGCGCGAGCACAGGGCCGGCTGGCGGCCGCTGTCATGCGGCGGGCGCTGAGGCCGCCGGCAGCAGCAGCACCAGCAGCGAGGCGGGCAGCAGCCGCCGGCCACCATGGCCGGCTTGCTGGCGGCGCGGCTTGACGCGCAGCTCGGGGACCTGTCGCAGCGCTGGCGGCGGTGTCTCGCCTCTCTGCTCCTCTTCACAATCATCCTGACCAACAACTTTGGCGTGTCCAGCTCGCGGACGGACGTGCGGAGCGGCCGGCCGCGCTGCCCGGCCGGCGCTCCGCTCCCGCTGCCCCAGTGCCTTGAGGACAGTGACGGCCGCCGTGCGACCGACCCCACCGGGTCGCCGCCACTCCCCGGCCTCAACAGTTGTTGTCAAATCAATTTTTATGATGCGTTGAACTGCACAGCCAGCCTGTCGGACGGCAGGACCAGCCAAGACTGCCGTGAGCGTGTGAAATTATTGCAGGAGCGTGATAGGCTAGTTGAAATGCATTACGCCAATTTCGTATCAATTGTGGACCGACTCGACTGCACCGACACCTACTCAGTGATTTATACTTGCTCTCAATGTAAGGTAAGTCACCCGAAGGCTGGAGGAGCGACTGCCGCAGTACGCCCTTCTGTCGTGGTAAAATATAAATGTGCTATAAGCATGTCTTGTTTGGCCTAAGCGTCATAGGCATTTACTTCATACAAATCCGACATGGGTGCATGTGATAAGAGCAATGTCGCTTTTTTCTCAATGATAAACGTGTTGCTTGAGAAACAATGCTCCTTGACCAGTCGTTTTATCTTATGTGACACCCAAATGACCTTCACCAGAATGTATGGGTTGTTTCATTAGGAAAAGGGTATTTACGTTCTGTATACCAATGCCTTTTTCATAAGCCAACATTCTGAGGTGATCATTGAACCCCAATGTTTCCTAATCGCCATCAGTCGACTGTCTTACTCTTACACCATGTCTATCCTAATGGAAAATCTTCCACCCACTCTCGCACGAGGAGCTCGATAGTTCAGCTCGTTGTGCGCTCGGGAGAGGGCCAGCCGAGCACGTCCGGCCGTCCTGTGTCCGCCGGCGCCGGTGCCGAGCCCGCTATGTGCCGAGAGGCCGCCCCTCCCCGGCCCCGGCCCGGCGCCATGTACCTCGCATCTTGAGGGCCGCGTCTGCGTCCCATGATGGCCCGGAAAGTGGCCCCTCTGCAATTTGTGTCGGCACGGCCCGCTGGGAGAGAGGTCGGAGCGGCCGGGCAGAGGGCGGGCGCAGTATTGATTGACGCCCCACCGACTGGCCGACTCGGCCGGCGCTGGCGGCGGCCGTATCGCACCGCCCGCACGGCGCCGTGTAACACGGTAACACACGGTAACACGGCGCGGCACGGTAACCTAGACACGCGGCACGGCACGGTAACGCAAAAACACGGCACGGCACGGTAACGCGACAAGGCACGGCAACATGGTAACACGACACGGTAACACAATAACGCGGCATGGTAAACAGCTCGGTAACACGGCACGGTAACACGGTACACCAACGACACGGCATGGTAACACAGTACAGGGACGACACAGCAGGAAGGCACACAGCATGGCGTGGTAGCATGACGCTGACAGAGCACAACACAGCAACGCGGCATGGCACAGAATATGACACGGCGTGCTCACACGGCAACATGACATGGTGTCTGATGGAAACGACATGGTCCATGAAAACTTCGAGTGATATCTAATAACATGGCACAGCAGTACCTACCTACCTACCGAGAGCGCAACTGGCGACGCCAGTACGATGACCACCATAACTAATATAGCCATAACATGACAGGTGCGTATAGTTACCTGTGCAAAAGGAAAGGCATGCCGCGTGAGAAAACCATGTTTTCTTCGGATAACTTATTCTGACGAGCCGCTCAGCGGTGAGCCAGGTTCAACTGGGCTTTTCTATGTCTTTTAGAGCTACCGTTACCTTTGGCCTCCATTAAAGCCCACTTTAGACTATTGATTGCCTGATTTTGAGGCATCCTGCGTCATATTGGGCTTCGCAAAGATAAATTCTTGCATCGTTCGGAGCCCTCAGGTCGTCCCTTAGCTTTGTTAGTGTCCTGCCACGAGGTCTGGTCAGATCATCTTTACACAGTGGTAGCTCATACATGCACGATGTAGGAGCTCTTGGAGCTTTTAAATGCGCTTGGTTGGCTAGGCATATAGGCCTCAACTGCACTTTGCTGAAGGAACATATGAACAGAGCATGTCATTATAACCCGCATGACAGCCTGGTTAATGGAATGCTCTGAAAATGCCATCCAGACACCAAAACTTTCCTCCAGTGATCGTGCACCTTTCCAAGGCTCCAACCTTCTTGAGGTCACGTCATCATCTCAAACCTCTGATCACTTCCGGTTTTCTGCCCTACTACGCGTCTTCATCCATTATCTACTAAGTAGTGCACACGCTTTGTGGTTTACTTTGTATTTCCGAGCTCCAACAAGCACTTTAGGTATGTACCTAGAAGACGTTCCCACAAACCAATAGTTTTTGGTAAACGCTACCATAAATCATTCGGTGGTCCTACTACCTATAATCGTCCTTTATCCTATCCCGAATGTTTTTAATTACTCTCATAAACTTGAAGCTCGCTTAAAAAGTATTCGGGTTCAGTTTGTTGCGCCACAACGTAATATCTGACTTTCCATTTGAGGTGCAGCGACTCAAAACTTAGTGATCATCCCACACCGGTCATGTTTCACTGCGGGTGTTTTCTTATCATCCGGATAGAATATGATCGGCAACGGGACCATGTCTATCCAGCTTTTCCTAGACACTCTGAAATTTCCAATAGAATTCCACCCGGAATGTGCGCAGCAAGCACCGCTGGCTTTTGACCTTAGAAAATATCGGCACACAAAATATGAGCTCTAAACTAAAAATGGCACGACATCGCATGATTTCACCACCGTTCCCGACATAGCACTGGCATGTTCCTGGATGGTACATGTAGATCGCAGCGCCTCGGGGCGCGATTAAGCACGACGTCGGACGTGGTGCTTGCGACACCGGACACGACATTTTGACGACACTGACGCATTACAACACATCAGAAACTGTATTATGCACAGGTAGCGCCACATGACACATCGACACAGGTAACGCCACGTGACACATCGACACAGGTAACGCCACATGACACATTGACACAGGTAACGCCACATTACTCACATTGACACAGGTAACGCCACATGACACATTGACACAGGTAACGCCACATGACACGACATGCAGGTAACGCCACATGACACGACACAGGTAACGCCACATTACTTACATTGCCACGGTAACGCCACATGACGCATTGACGTGGTAAATAACTGGGCAACTCGCGTTTCGGCACTGCATGAGAAGGCCAAAGCGTTAATTTAAGTTAGCGATTGTTAAGCTGCATTAGAGATCGATTTACCCATCCTTGAGTTGGACCTTCCCAGTAAAAAAAATCACTCTAGCCACATGCAAGCCATTAATTACAAAGCCTCGTATGTTTGAATGGACGAATTGCCAGGCTGGGGGGCCACCACGATGTTCAGCAGAGCTGTTGCGTAGCGTACTCCCTAACTCCTGCCCAGGGCCTCGGCCAAGGAATTTTGACTACTGGGGCAAATCGTCAAAGTGTGTTAGCGCCCTGCTGGGGGGGGGGGGGGGCTGAACACCAGCGGTTTTTCCTGCGGTTTTTCGCGGATATCTCAAAAACGGCGGCGCTCCATCATCCATCAATTCTACACGTGTTGCAAAAATTTCAGACCAAGGTCATTCAAGATCAGGTCACCAGGTCACTTCAAGTGACCTCACCTCATAAAATGTTTCAATGTATGCCGTAGCTACACCGAGTGACCGATCGCTTTGAAACTTTCAGCGATTGATAAGATAAGGGCAACAACAATCAGCATGTACACAATTTTTATCTCGGGATTTTCATATCGGTGACCTAAGGTCAGCTCAATTTTGCGACCTCGATTATAAGTCAATGGGAGAAAATTCAAAACCACCTCGTTTGGACGAAAGTCATTCTAAACACTATAAAACACTGTACGTGACTTTGACACACTGAGCATGAAAATAGCACCCGTGACCCTTGTTTATGCCCCAGAGGTCATCTCAGTTCACGAATGGTATCTAACAGTTTTTCGCAAATAACTTTTGAAAGAGGCATGCTAGAGCGATGAAAATGTCTTAGTTATTGTTTGGCTCGACGATGCAGATCGACTGATATGCAACATGACAATTTCCGGTCAGATCATATTCATGACCTTGACCTGAGGTCGAATTTTCAAGTTGACCGTCAAGGTCAAATTGTAGTTAATTTGATGCGTCTTGACGAGAGGAACACGATGTCGGTAAAAGAAAGCTCATGCAAGGCATGAGTCAAAAGTTATTGCAGAAGAACTGTTCCCGAAAAAATCGTCTATTTTGGTAGTTTTTGCCCCTTGCAGGCAAAACCGTTGACGTTAGGTCAGATCCAAGAGAAATAGCCAGAAAACATGCTAATATGGCTATCAAATGCGCTTTTTCGCGGTGCTGTAGCTCTAATTGGTTCCCGAGTTATGCGTCGGCATCTTGTAAACTGTCTATATTCGACCTGAAAATCGGCGAAATTTGGCCATCACCATGACCTGACCTTTGACCTGACCAAAAAAGTTGCCGAAGTAATTTCGTCATTATTTTTGACGCTCTTTCGAACGAAGATGGATTATGGGGTGCAAAAAGATATGTTTGCCAATGCACGCCTATGTATTTGGATGGAAATTGAGGGTGCAGCTGCACACTGTGCACTCCCTCTTCCACCGCCCCTGATTTCTTGCCACAAACGTATTCAACTGCTTCCGAATGAAAGAATGTACGTTAATACGGATATATTCTCATTTTGTGGAGGTTGGGCAAAGCCTGACCACTACTGGGGCATTTCTCGACTCTACTGGGGCATTTGCCCCAGAAGTTAACATGTTAGCCGAGGCCCTGCTCCTGCCGGCCGCTCAGACGTACCGGTAATTGGGATAATTAGGATGTCAAAGTTTAGTGTGACCATCAAAGCCGGATACGGTCCGTCGCACTCACCGACTTCAATCGGTCGCGGCTGCTCCCACCAACCACTGACCATCCCCGCTAGGAGTCTCAAATATCGAGCGCCGGAACGTCTGGAACCCGGGCTCTCACTTCCGGGAGTCCAACGCCCTACCTGCGGAATGGACAACTTAACGGATTATCCAAATCAACGCCTGTCTTGCCGAGTCGCGTCACATACTATCTTTTTTGTTAGGATGGGATCCATGTGAGTGTTGACCTCAGGTCATGGTCAATTGGAGTCCGGTCAGGTTAGGACCCTGGTCTAGTGAAGTCGAGTTAGTTTGCATGTTACTCGGATTTGTCAGCGCATTCTGTACTAGACTAACGATATATAGTGTAACTCACGCTGCTTAGCTGCACTGAGGCACAGTCTAACTAACGGCGTTTAGCCGTACTGTGGTACAGTCTATATTACGACATTTAACTGTACTGCGGCACACTCTATCTCACGGCGTTAAGCTGTGCTGCGGCACAGTCTACCTTACGGCGCTCGGCTGTGCTGCGGCACAGTCTATCTCCCGGCGTTCGGCTGTATTGCGGCACAGTTTACCTTACAGCGCTCAGCTAAACCACGGCACAGTCTATCCCACGGCGTTTAGCTGTAGTGCGGCACAGTCTAACGGCGCTCGGTTGTACTGCGGCATTATCTACATCATTACGGCGTTTAGCTGTACTGCGGCACAGTCTATCTCACGGCGTTTAGCTGTATTGCGGCACAGTCTACCTTACGGCGCTCAGTTATATCGCGGCACAGTCTATCTCACGGCGTTTAGCTGTACTGCGGCACAGTCTATCTCACGGTGTTTAGCTGTATTGCGGCACAGTCTATCTCCCGGCGCTCGGCTGTACTGCGGCACAGTCTATCTCACGGCGCTCGGCTGTATTGCGGCACAGTTTACCTTACAGCGCTCAGCTAAACCACGGCACAGTCTATCCCACGGCGTTTAGCTGTAGTGCGGCACAGTCTAACGACGCTCGGTTGTACTGCAGCATAATCTACATCATTACGGCGTTTAGCTGTACTGCGGCACAGTCTATCTCACGGCGTTTAGCTGTATTGCGGCACAGTCTACCTTACGGCGCTCAGTTATATCGCGGCACAGTCTATCCCACGGCGTTTAGCTGTAGTGCGGCACAGTCTAACGGCGCTCGGTTGTACTGCGGCATAATCTACATCATTACGGCGTTTAGCTGTACTGCGGCACAGTCTATCTCACGGCGTTTAGCTGTATTGCGGCACAGTCTACCTTACGGCGCTCAGTTATATCGCGGCACAGTCTATCTCACGGCGTTTAGCTGTACTGCGGCACAGTCTATCTCACGGTGTTTAGCTGTATTGCGGCACAGTCTATCTCCCGGCGCTCGGCTGTACTGCGGCACAGTCTATCTCACGGCGCTCGGCTGTACTGCGGCGCAGTCTATCTCACGGCGCTCGGCTGTACTGCGGCACAGTCTGTCTCACGGCGTTTAGATGTACTGCGGCACAGTCTATATCACGGCGCTCGGCTGTATGTACTGTGGCACAGTCTATCTTACGGCGTTTGGCTGTAGTGCGGCACAGTCTGTCTCACGGCGTTAGCTGTACTGTGGTACAGTCTAGCTCACGGAGATCGGCTGCACTAAAACTCCCGGCCTTGAGACAGTTTTTCACACGCAGTGCCACACACAGACAGTGAGAGTTTTGGCTAAGCCTGTTTACGTGTAAACTGTACATACGAGCGCATGGCCGCATTGCGGCATAGCTTTACTCCCAGGGCGTTTGGCCGCGCTACTTGGCTCTTTGCCAGGCCTGGTAACAAGGCCAGCCCAGGTATAGTGTGCGGTGGCTGGACATTGCATTATCGTAAACCGAAATGAACAGCTGCAGTGGCAATATATGTGATCGTTGTGCTTCCGGCAGCATCCACTCCGGCACTCCTGGCCCCATCCAGGAGGCGAGCAAGACGTAATGAGCTTCTCGCAATTAACTTTAGCTGTCCCGTATCGCAGCTGGAAACCTTTTTGCTTTTATCGATATCATAGGTCAAGGTACGAAAGCGAGCCTCATAAAGTGTGCTCCCAATTATATTACTACGGCCATTCCGCTGTTTTATGTGGTCTTGCAACCTGCCAACAACTAAAAGACGAAACACTAAAAACATGTGTACCTAATAAACATTTAATTTGCGCGATAGTGAATAGGACAAACAAAAGTAATGCAAGTGCTCCATCAAGCGCTGGTCGCGGGACATTACACCCTGGGACATAACTACCTTTCTGTTTAACCAACGCCGCAGCTGACAATACACGTGTTTTAGCGATAAGTCCAGCGCCACGGCTCAACTTACTGTTATGAATGCGATGACAACCTTCCTGCCGCGACTTTGACGCTCCGTTTGACTGATGGGGTACGGCCATGTGTAACAATGGACAGAGTCTGACGTTATGTCTGTGGGTTTCAGGAGGCGTACCACGACTGGCTGTGCGCCATGTACGTCCCGTTCTGCGGGTCCGAGGGCCGCCGGCTGCGGCCGTGTCGCAGCCACTGTCAGCGCGTGCAGCGCGTCTGTCCATTCTTCCTGCCGTCGGAGAGAAAATCGGCCGCCACGCAGTACGCCGGCGAGCCCGCCTTCTTCTGCGACGGTAATGTGCCACCCCGAGAGCCCATACCGACGGTAATGTGCCACCCCGAGAGCCCATACCGAGCCCGACGGTAATGTGCCACCCCGAGAGCCCATACCAACGGTAATGTGCCACCCCGAGAGCCCGTACCGACGGTAATGTGCCACCCCGAGAGCCCATACCGACGGTAATGTGCCACCCCGAGAGCCCATACCGACGGTAATGTGCCACCCCGAGAGCCTGATCCATCCGCGGAGAACGCTCACATGATTCTTTGAGTCTTATCATGGTCACTCGTTTACTGTTGCACTTTCTGCTTTTGTCGTTTCGCCAGATGTAACTCTAAACTCTCTTCACGAGTTCTTTGAGTTTTATGATGGTGCAGATGAATTCTACGGAGCCTGAATCACGAAGGAAAGAACTTGCCAATTTCTTTTGATCATTTGACTATCGGAACACCAATCAGATGATTCACCAGTTACGAAATACTTTACTGACAAAAGGAGCTTAACGAAGTTTGAAGTAGCTGGAACAGGAAACCAGGAATGCCAGTCGATTTGCTGTGAGGAAAGACGCCTTCTGTGCATTGTGAATTTACCAAAGTTCTCAGCTGATTGCCGGTGACCGTGCCACTGTATGTCCTCCTCTATACCGGTTTGTGTGCCTGCGGCTGAGCTCGGCTCTCTGTCCGCAGACCCCGACATTCCGGACATACCACCGTTCACCACCGGCTCCACGTACGGCGACCCGGACTGCTGTTACCACTCGTGCTGTGTGCGGCCCGACCAGCCCGAGTGTAGTGCGGACACGTGCAGCGCGGCGGCCGCCTGTCCGGGCCAGGCGGGGCCGCCGCCGCCGCCGCCGCCCGCCGCCCCCGCCTCCGCCGGCGCCTGGGCGGTGCGCTTCAATCAGCTGCAGAGACACTCGCCGGCGGCCAAGGTGCGGGTCAGAGCGGCGCGGCGGCGGCGGCGGCACCGGCGCGGCCACGGCTCGGCCGCCGCCGGCAGCCGGGCGGCGCGGCCGGCGCCCTCGGCGCTGCTGACTGCTGCCCTGTGCTTACTGGCCGCCGCCGGCCGACACCGGACCAGGACGAGAGTGGCGCGAGACAGTGTCACGTAGCCTCGCGCGTCTAGTGAGTGGCGAGGCTTCCAGCGGCGCGGCGCGGGCGCTGTGGCGCAGTGGATGCGAGGTGTGGCGCGGTGAAGACAAGACGTGGAGCGCCGCAGCTCGGCGCCGGGGCGAGGGACCACCGGCCAGCAACGCCGTCCGCTGGATCGGCTCGCCAGGACCCGCACAAGACGCCACAACACTCTCAGCTTTCAGGCGTACTTCAATTCATGGTGTCATAACCAAAAGGCCAACAAAGTGTTCGTTGTAGGAAATATTTAGTTATTGACATCGTTTGTTTAGATAAGTTACATATTTCTTTCTACGTAGTCATTTGTGCACTGTTTTATACGATGCGGATGAAAATATTTAGATGTGGGACGGGCACATTCAGCTCGCTGCCCCAAAAGCGGTGCTGGACACTGCTAAGGGACCGCAGCTGTGTCCTAACCTGTTCGGATTCGGTCCGAATTAGGTTCAGTAACGGTTCGAAATTCGAAGTTATGGGCTCAGATATTTCAGGTCCTGCCCGTACTCCGTCTAGTCCATGTCTGATCTGATCTAATCTTTGGGTCGAGTTTGATCCAGATCTGTCGGAACCGATCCGCGTTCGGTTCAGATCCAGTCCGGTCTGGTCTTGGCTCAGTCTGGATCCGGTATGTTTCTGATCCAGATCTCGTTCGGGTTCTGCATGGATTCGGTCACGGTTGGATCTGGGTACTGTTTGGGTCCGATCCGGATCTGGCCTGAGTCGAGGCAGGATCTAATCTAAAATCGATCCGAGTCTGGTCTGTACCCTTCCAGTTCCGATCTAGTCCGGGTTGATTCGAATCTATGCAAGTCTAGTCCAACTGGGGCTGGGTTCGGTTCGGTTCGGTACATGTCCGGTCCAGCTCGGCCTGGGTCCGGTCTGGCTCAGTCCGGGTCCAGTTTCACTCGGCCAGGGTCCGGCCTGGCTCGGTCTGGGTCCGGTCTGGCTCAGTCCGGGTCCAGTTTTCCTCGGCCAGGGTCCAGTTTCCCTCGGCCAGGGTCCGGCCTGACTCGGTCTGGGTCCAGTCCGACTCAGTCTGGGTCCGGCCTGGCTCGGTCTGGGTCCAGTCCGACTCAGTCTGGGTCCGGTCTGGCTCGGTCTGGGTCCAGTTTCACTCGGCCAGGGTCCGGCCTGGCTCGACCAGGGTCCGCCCTGGCTCGGTCTGGGTCCGGTCTGGCCGGCCCATATCCAGTCCGACTCGGTCTGGGTCGGGCCTGGCTCAGTCTGGGTCCGGTCTGGCTCAGTCTGGGTCCGGTCTGGCTCGGTCTGGGTCCGGTCTGGCTCAGTCTGGGTCCGGTCTGGCTCGGTCTGGGTCCGGTCTGGTTCAGTCTGGGTCCGTTCCGACTCAGTCTAGTCCCATTTTGCGAGGGGGTGTTGTGATACGGGCGGCGCGCGTCTGCCGCGGCGGGCGGACCGGCGGGCCGGGGGCCGAAGCGGACAGGCCGGCCGGCGGGACGCCAGGTCCCAGGTACGGGTACAGTGACGCGCGCGCCGCTCTCCGAGTTTTATATTAGACCTGTTTTAGGGCCGCAGCCGCGTCTGGCGCCAGCAGCCAGCGCAGACTGCGGCCACAAACACGTATTTTTCAGCTGCATGAAGTGTCCGGCCGGCTGGCAGTGTCCGCTTGTACGTCAACTTAAAATATTGTGCACAGCTTAAAATTCATCTGTCCATCTCAATCTATGAACATACGTAGCTGCATTAGACTCTCTTCTTTCCCCAGCACTGCGCAGTCTGACCTGAAACATTCATAACGCTTATTAGTTTTACATTAAGGTCTTTTCATCTTAATCTCTCTTTGTCGAAAAATGAGCGACCTCGTCAAGTCCACAAAGTTGATGAAGGAACGCATGTAGTAGCGAGGAATATTTGAGTTCGTCGTTGATAACGATATGTCACCAAGGGGCCTCGTTACATTGTGTTGGTACAATCGCATTGGTGACCATTGGTAACCAAGTCATTGTTTGGTCCATCGCAAATGTTTAAGATAGGTATAAATGACAGCAGCGGATTTCATACGGCGTATCATGCAACATTGAGATCAGAGACATCAGACTTTTCGAGTTATCTCTCCATCGTTCCCTTTCCTCGCATCCATCCATAACGTATTGTAATGTAAATTTAAAGGTTTCTCTTCAATAGTGTGGCAGTTATATTGCTGTATTGCCCTCCGCCCATTTTCCACTCAGCAAAATATATGAACGTCTGCCTTTCGGAAGTCTGGCGCATCTCGCTGAAAGACTTTAACACCCCTGCTTATTTTATAAATGTACCACTTTTGAGATAACCTTCCCACAACAATACAAATTCAGCTTGTTAGAGCCCATGGCAACTTTGGCTACGTTTGACAAGGCCCATTCGAGAACTATCATGAAAATGATGGACGTCCGATCTTGGCTTCCTTTCAATCCATTTCAAAATTCGAGCTCTAGCGCAGGAGTACCCACTGATCAAACACCTTAACAAATGATGTGGGTGGACATTGAACGTGTTTGAGATGGAACACTTTGGTGACACTACATCACACGGACTTCTTTTCTACGCGCGATGTTTATCATCAAGCCTTTCAATTCGATTTGAGGTAAAGAAATCAGAAGAAACAAAGTATGGATGGATTCAAATGATTTCATTTTATAATCTCTCAATGACACAGCTTCTATGGATGCCACACGCAGTTGGAAAAATATGCCTTTGACAGTAAGGCCAAAGCCCTGTTATCAATAACGACGGCAGACTATTTCCAGATATAGCCTCGTGTCACCGGAGATACGTAAAATATTGTACTTTGATCTACAGTTACAAAACTAAAGCTGCCAGCCTTCTAAAAGAACAATAGACGGTTTCTCAGAACGGCGGGAGCACACGCTCGAAACGCTCGTTTCATCGCCATTAAAACGCTTCAAATACGATCCGCTTTTATGTCCCGATAACCGGTTTTGGTGTCAAACGAAATGTCTGAAACGCACAAGGGTTGCCAAAGTGAGAGCCGCTCCCCGCTGTTTGGCGAGGCCGCCCAGGGGGTTGGAGCCGCGTGCCGCCGCACCGGCCGGGGAGGGGTCCGGGTCAGGGGTGAGGTCAAAGCGCCACGGCGGGCCGATGCGCTCCCCTCCCCCTCCCCCTCCTGACAGACGCCGGCGGGGGGCGACGCAGGCTCGGTGGAAGACCGTCCATAACATTTGAGTTGGTGACGCATTCAGGGACGCGCATGGGATGCCGCCGCATGTTATCAATGTGTTATAAGGTCGTCCGCGCTTGTGAGCGCCACAAGTAAAGTTATTCGCGAGGTGTGACACGCAGGCAGCTCGATACCGTGGTAAACTGCGCCGCTATTCAGATATTGTTCCAGCTTACAGCTCTGGTTCGCTTTGGGACATGGGGGGCGGCAGTCGTCAGGCCACGGGACGCGCGCGAACGCAGGAGAGTACTACTGACCAATTTTGCCTAAATAAACTATGTGACGTTTTGCTTTGAGGTGTTACTGACTGTGAACGGTTACATTTGATTAGAATAACGTTTGGACAATGTCGTTTTTAGGTTTACATGAAGCCGTTAGTCCTATTCCCCATAGTATTGAACAATGTGATTCTGTGTGTCGATCGTGTGAATCGCTGCAACGTTTGTGAAGTAGATAAAGATGCATTTAATACGATAACCTTTGTTTCTATGTGTGCGGTACGATGCTGCTGAATGGGGTATAACGCTGGGAAAAGTCACGCCTCCTACTGCATTTGCCACTCCCCACGCTTCTGCTGAGCGGTATGAGAAACTAAAATATCAACCACACTCGACAACACCCCGCAGTTTCACCTAGTGTGTTCAAAATTATTTGTCGTAGCACTACTCACTGGTTACTGACGAATTGTCGCACTGAAAGAGGCTGAGCTTTTAATACGAGAAAAAATCGTAGGTATGCTGTAAAAATCGATTTAGCATCAAAGTGAAATTGTATCTTGATAAAATAGTATTTATCTACTTTACGAGCCATTACGTAAGAGGCTTTGCCATGATTTAATATGCCAAATGAACTGACCAAGGCCTGCACTCGGCAGTGAAACACGAATGAGTTGGACCATAGACCTCTGTATACAGAGGTCTATGGTTGGAAATGGACACATCAATGTAGACCTGCCACCAGCCTCAGCAATGGCCTCCACTACACACCACCAGCACACCCCAATCGATTGATGTTCAAAGCATACCAGCCTCCGCGGCACCCTCAGTCATCTCTCCCCGCTGCTAACAGTTTAGCAGATCGTGTTTCTCCGACCACGGCCGGCCCCAGCCCGGCAGCGCCGAGTGATTACGCTTCAGTCCGCTAGATGGCAGGAGTGGTCGGCGCCTGAAGGTATGCTGTGCCGCAGGGCTCGCGGGGCCGTGCGGAGCGAGAACGCAGCGTTCGCGGCGCCAATCAGCTGCTTCTCAAGACCATCCGGCAATCGGTATCCTATTTACATTATATCCAAGCTGCCGGAATTGATGTGGACATGCGTGTCATTGTTTTACATTATTATCCAAAAGATGTGGCTCGAGTGCCTCAATGCCTATGTTGGTGTCAGTGACCACATTTGTGTTTCAATATTTCTCTCTGTTCGCTGCCTATGTAATTCCTTTTCCTCGATATCTTCCTCTTCCTTACCTCCTGCTCATCAAATTAAGGTAGGTAGGTACCTACTCAAAGGTGAAACATTTTTTCAGTGTAGCCAACACCGAAACTATTTGTGGGCAAGTTCACGGTTGCCGCGCACCGTTACATGGTCAGACAGAGACAGGCAGACCAAAAGCAAACCTGGTCTTGGTTCCC